ATCAATCCCTAAAAGCATAGCCTTTCATCCGGTTGAGAATGTAAGCAGAGTATCTTCAAATTATATTTATCCACCTCAAAAAGCATAGTTTAATTCCATGAGTAGAACACTTTCTCATTGTACTCAATTTGCACACAAGTTGGCCTAGAGGTGGTCACACATAGAATAGAAGCCCTATCTACTTAGGAGGTTCATGCAACATAAACTGCTCCGAATCATTGTTCAAGCCCCAAAATACTTCATTCCTTACCACATTAATTTAGTTTTATAGTGTGTGGGGGAGAGAGAGAGAGAGAGAGAGAGAGAGAGAGAGAGAGAGTGAATGGAAGGAAAAAAATACAAAAAATTGGAAGCAGGACTCGAAATAAATAAGACATACCCTTTGACGTTTTGAACTTGGTTCTGCCTCATCACCCTGGGACGAACCACCATCACCTTGGTTATCATCCGCCTGCACATGAATCGTATCCACAAACACAGTCATAGTACAACCAAAAACAAAACTTGCATTTATTTACCTAGTTAAACTGGAAAGATCTTAAGCTTCAAATTTCAATTATGAGTTAGAAAGGCCTAATATTTACCTGGTTGACATCAGCTCCAGCGTTGTACTGAGAGACTATAGGCATTATCTGACGTAGGATATTAGACAAAACAACCCCTTCATCACTTGCAGCTGGTGCTGATTCCTGAGCAGGGGGCTGACTTGGAATGGAACCTGAGCTTGAACCTGGAACAGCGGAATTACTGAAAACGTGCTCTCCTGGAAATAATGTACTAACCAACTGTTCCAGGCCACCTCTGATATGTGCAATGAATCCTTGATCATTAAGTGCTTCAGATGATAAACCTGCAAAAAATTACCCCATCATAAGTTTGACCATACGTGTATTTTTCTCATGATGATTTGGAAATGTGTAGTTATAATTGATTTCTATTTTTAAAATGTTGATAAGATTGAGGAGAAAAAAGTGGGAGAGAATAAATAGAGTATAAATATATTGTATCCAATCACAGCTCTAATGGAAAAAATACCAACAAAATGATAACGAAATTATTTTATATCCAATCACTTTCGCTGGCAGCCCGACTGGGCAAAAGGTATAAGGGGAGAAAAATTGAGTTGAACATTTCATAAGAAATTTAAGCCCAGAAATTCGACAATGGGACTGGAACAAAGTTGTATAACTTTAACTACATAAATTTATTCAGGTTTTATGCATCAAGTGAAATCATGCACTAATTATTTGATAGTGTAGGCTCAATTTGGAGTAAAATCTATCTTTGAGAGTTCATGGTAATAGCCATCTTGTCACTTTAAAACCCTAAAAATAATATATATTTCAGATGTGAATCAACAAGAACAAGAAATATGGAATCGCTGAAAGGTATACCTCTTCCGGTGATTGTAAAGTTTTGTTGTTGTGTTGCGCCAGGTTGTTCAGTAATATCGTTTGATTCTTGATGCTGACCTGGGACTTGAGAAGCTCCTGTTCCGTTAGAATTTCCAGAAGATACATTTTGAACTCTTGCCAAAACAGGATATAAGATCCCTATTGGGCCACGAGAAGAATCTGAATGTGAAACAGATGACGGAACTGCAGCAACTACTGTTCTAAGAGGAACCGCTCTCACTTGCGGGTCCCTGCGTAAATTTGGATCAGCAGAAGTACGTGGACCAGAGTTTCCACTACCGGGAGATACTGCAGAGCCTTGACCAACAGACTGTGAGCTACTAGGCTCCCTTCGAGTAAGTACGGATCCTGATCCCATAAAAAGGAAACAAGTTACAAGTTTTAAATTCATAGAATTAGAAATTAATAACATAAAAATGCAATATTTTATCAGATTGGAACACAAAGGCATGGTTTTACAAGTACATCACTAGAAATTCCAGCCTTTTCAGATATCAAGTAAGACATCCCCCAACCAAGAATTTTTGGAACATCACCTGCACGTATTCTGATGTCAATATTTCTAGGGACAAAGCCAGTACCAGAAGAATCCCCAGCTACAGCCAAGCCATGTTGAAAATTTCCAACGGGAATTGAACCAAGTGCTCCTGGTTGGAAATGCAGTGGCTGTACATTATGGTATAGAAAGCAGAAAGTGAGCAACCACATGTGTATGCCTCAAACTCAAGGTAGCAAAAATCATTAAACAAAATACCCCCTGAACCATTATAGGGTTGGGTCCTGCAGAGGAGACAAAGATAGAGGGTCCAGCATTCACAAACGCATCACCCTGAGAAAAGATGGACCAATTACTTAACATCACACAGCCTAAAACAATCAGAGTGATTAATTGGTTGAACTTCTTTCCTAAGCTGCAAGTAGGCACTACGATATAACCTAAGTCCTATAAGAAACTGGAAGCAAATAAACATACTGGTGCTGGGCCCATTCTCAGAGTCATTATTGCCCGACCAAGCTCAAGAAACAAAGCCCCAAAATTTTGAAAAAGAGCTCCAGACCTCATAGCATTTGATTGAATTCTAGTGCGCTCCAGTGGATCCGTCACACTTGATTCAGACTCCAGTTGTCCTGCAAGTTGCTGCAGAAAAATAGTTTGTTTCTTTTCAAAAAAAAAGAAAGAACAATAATTCCTTTCAGTATCAAATTAACATTCCAGTAGCAAGTGGTGTTGACTTTCCTTCATTCACGGAGATGATAACTAAATCTCAGACCTTTGCATTATATTACTCAGAAAATGGGCTGCTCTTCTACAACACTCAGTAGGAACTAAACTTATAATAGTAAGGAAAGTAATTGCAAACAAGATCACAATGATGTACTCCTTATTTCTTAAAACTATTTCAAATCATTGCAGTTGGCGTTAAACTATACGATGGATTTTTAGTCTTTCACTAGGGGTTCATACCCATAGCTCTGCTATGAGGAAAAGAAAAAGAGAAAGGAGGCAGTAGATGCTATTGAATAGACACTAAGCCACTAGAAAAATACATCTTCAGGATTTTAAATAGTAAACAATGTTTTTCTTTTCTTCAGCCAATTGTCCGCTGCAAGAACTGAAACTGCTATTAGATGGAAACAATGTTTTTCTTCAGCCAACGATGGAAACAATGATTTTAAATAGTAAACAATGTTTTTCTTTTCTTCAGCCAATTGTCCGCTGCAAGAACTGAAACTACTATTAGATGGAAGATACTCCGCAGCAGCAGAACAGTAGCTTTTTACTGAAAAGGAAAGAGATTTAAATTTATTCACAGAACCAGTTGATAACTGGCTTCCAATAAACAAACAAACATTAGCACCCAAATTCTATATATTAACAAGATTACGTCACACTATCACGGGCTAAAGCTTTAATGAGATGATGAGACAAGATTTGATAATGAAATATAGCAAATGGAGCATTTTATTCTAGATAGCAAACAGCTATTGCACCTGATAAACTCTCATATCTTTTTTTTTTTCAAGAGAAGTCTTATGGCTAGAGCACATACCGATAAGCACACAGCAGCTTGTTCAACAAGAAGTCTTCTCGCAGAAGAAATCACCTCCGCCAAGGACTCAGGACTGGGAGGCCCTCTGCCCCCACTAGAACGCACGGCACCTTCCAACTCTGGTGCATCACTCCGAGGAAAACCAGTATTTTGAGCATTTCCACTTAGCCCTTCAGCTGCAAGTCCAAAATCCAACAACATAAGCTTAACAAACTGGTATAATAGTAAAAGAGGAACACAAATATGAAATATAGGCAAAGTTCCTCACCATTGAAAAGAAATTCCTGCCTCAAATGGGTCAAGTACTGCAACAAAGTAGTCAAGGAATCGGGTATAATCTGCAGTAGCAAGATGAAAATGGAATACCACCTCGGTTAACGACGACGCGCAGGGAAAGAACATAAAATACTCGATGAATATTAGAAATTCCAAAAAGTTTTTCTGAACATAATATTGCATCGCTTTTACAAAATGTCAATTCAGATACAGAATTTAATGCTTTGAATCCACAAATTAACTCAGAAGCTACCGGTGGCTGCAGAGATGCAACAGGAATGGCTACAGAAGCTGCTTGGTCTTGATCAGAATGTAGTCTGCTATAATTTCTCGTACCAATGAGTCCAGATGCAGATGAGAGCTGTTCCAAAGGAGGTTGCTGACCCATAAAAACATTAGGATAATATTCACCCTCTTGCAGAGGGAACATCTCCAATATGAGAAAGTGTGCATAATATAGATAGCCTTGTGCCAAAACCTTTAGGAACTTACATTAAGATCAATCCCCTCACCACCACTTCCAGATCTTGAGACTCCAAAAGAATTAAGCACAGCAGACACAATCTACAAGACCAATAACCACGACTTATTTGTCTATTTGAGTTAAGATGCCTTGCAAAAGATCATATGTTACCCGATTTAGATCAGGAAAAGATCCATCTCCCTGTTCTGATATATTGAAGGATCCAACCATCACACTTGGACCTACTCGATTGCCTGGAATGTGTCCATTGCTTGACGTTGGATCAGGTGCTGCAGACACAATGAGCTTGGTATTCAGCTTACTAGTTGCTTGACCTTGAAATATAGCATGAACAAACGCAATACCAAAGCCAAGCATTCAGTAGTCATGATTACAGTCCCTAGATATTAATCTTCACTGTTTTACTTCTAGGTCTAATGTTCTACTCGTGAATAATCTCTTGGTTATCTTCCACCATATTGTTTTGGCTAGTTCCATGTTAGAAGACATGAAATGTAGGTTGATAATCAGTTCAATTCGGATATCATTAGATGTCATCCGTCACATTTCAAATTGAAAACAATACATTCCGGTTCACCATGCAAGAAAGTACTGATAACCAAAATATACTGCGTGACTTTTTGAGACAGCAGAAATTCCACTGTGTAACTTGATATGGATGAACGAATAAGTTCCTTAATATATATATATATAAGCAAAGGAACCTGCCAGTGAAGTCAGATCAAAACTGTGTAACTTATCCTTCAAGCCAGATCGAACTTTAACTTGAGAAATCATAAACCAAACCAAACCAAACCAAACCTGGATGATCAGAGCTGCCTGGAGATGAATCAATTGGTTGTCTCACGACCAGGTGCAGGGTGTGACCATCTTCCACATCTACAAACATATATATTAAGGAACTCGAGCAGAACAATAAGAAGATATATACAATACCCTTCATCCTAAAGGTGAACAATTCTGTTATTGTGAGAACTTGTTACATACAAGTGGCATAAACATATATAAACATCCTTGTAAGGATAAATACAACAATGGTGAAGAATTACTCTCCTGCACAACTTGTTGTCCATGCTACTCTAGGTATATATACACGCTGGTGGATGCCAAATTTATGGTGAATGGATGGCAGAATGTTTCATAATGCCTATTCCAAGTGTACTACACATCGGGTGTAGCATCTGCAAGACCATTAATACTAATTATGTGCTCAAATAGTATAGATAAGATCTACCGCTTTATAATGGCTTGTTTTGCAATGCAGACTAATATATAGGACCAAAAGAGGCTATTGGCTGAATTTGCAGCTTCTTGATGACATAATTTCTAAAAGACTATGCAATACAACAAAAAATGAAAAATTAGGATCAGTCAATAATTCTTAGCTACTTCAGTAAAGCATGTAGAACTTTGGCGACAAATATTATAGCACACATCTTAGAAAAATCAAGTGGGTGGCATAAAAAACCAAAGGATACGATAAGCTGAGAGGAGCTGGTCATCCTTCAAAACTTTGCCACGGCATATAAGGCGTTGTTGCTCGGACAGGACACCAGTTAGAGAAGCAATCTGTTGCTTTAGCTCAGGAACAGGCACCTGCGTATAAACAACACATACAGAAATAGTTGAAACCATAGAGTGGAAGGTGGAAATTTTCATTCAGTGCCAGAAACGGGGCTTGAGAATTGTTACAGTATGCTAAGAGGACATGGATATGAATGAGCAAGGTCACAATGCAAAACTCTTCATGATAATACTATCATCATCAACAAGAAAATGAACTTGGGCTTCTCCTCGCCCACTACTCCGCCTATTCTAGGTACATAAACCTCAAATTCGGGAAAATAATTCTCAGCCAGAGCAACAATAAACCATTCCCAACCACTATTTCCGATATCAAAACAGCATTACTGGAGTCTCTAATCTCTATCACTCACTTTTCTTGGGCCACCTCTGACCTCAAAATCATCTCTTTCCATCACTACATAGTAATACAAATGCAAAGCTATTTGTAGAGCACTACATGGATCATCTAATCCTGAAAAGGACAATTATTACAGTAGAGAGCAATACGTTTACCAAGTGATAATTTCCAACTCATAACTCAAATCTGGTTTCTGAAATTTCACAGAGAACCATGAGGACACAACGAACTCCACCAATTTAAGAAAGTGAATTGCCAAGCTACTCAATATTCTCTCACAGGCTGTCCTCAACCGATATTTAAACTTAAGTGACTTAAATACTGGTCATATAAAACTAAGTTAGCCTATGATAGAATTGCATTAACCAATTAGTTGGGAGATATTTTACGCATTTATCCACTCGCAGTGTGAAAGTTTGAGAATCTAGCGTCTTGATCTTGATCTCAACAGTGGTTTCAGAACATTCAGCTGCGTCATTTCCTGAGATATTTAGGCGCGCACCACCAGTACTTTCCATCTAACTGAGTATTGTTGACTCCTGAAATTCATGATTCAGATTACTCAATGAAGAACAAAAAAATATGAACAAATAATGGAAAGAATTTTCATGAAAAATCCTCTTGGGTTGCCAGTGCTATATCTAGAGCTGATTAAATAGTTGAACTTCCAAGTGTTCTCAAAGCTAAAATATAGAAATCGGAATAGCAGTCAAAATCCCATCTTTATTACTCAAAACAAACTATACCCACATCAAGAATCTTAAGGTAGGGTGAAACAAAGAAGAGACACGAGAAAGCGCCCATTTACTGGTTATCATTAACAAAATATGAAAGGCAACTGCTAAACACCAGAAAGACTGAAACTGAGTTCAAAATACAAGCTAAAAGTTCCACTTTTATGTGAAAATCCTATACCTCGGGCCGAAATGGTCCCTAATGACCCAAAAAATGAATCCACACAAAACAGAAGGTATACACAATACACAAGAAATTGATTACCTGAAAAAAATTATGAATATAGAGAAAGGAATTTGATGCAAAGAGAAAAAATGAAACCTGAATATACGCAGCTGGATCGAAAAGAGAGTCGGGAAAAATGAAAACCCAAATGTGCAGAAAGCAGTCAGCACTCAGCGGCAGCGTAGGGGTATCTCTGATATGCTGATGTGTTTTCTTCACTATTCTTTATTTTGTGCTCTTTTCTGGGCATCTAACGGCTGAGATCTACGGGAAATGATTTCAGATCTGACCATCACTATTATTTTTCGTAATTTACAATTATCATTCATCTGGGATTATTGCATGTAGCTACCATGATATATATTTTTATAGTACAATACCAGTGTACATTGATGCTTATTAAAAAAATTATATATAAACAGCGGCGGATCTAGAATTTTGTATGAGTTAGGGCAGAAAATAGTTCAAAGAAATTTTTAACCATATTGTACAAAAGCCTAAATGTCATTACTTTTGTTCATGTTATTTTATAAAGATTTCCTTATGAATTATCTTTTTATATATAAACTAGCAGCCTCCGGCTATGATAATGCATTATTAATATTTTTACTACGATATTATGATTTATCTCATAAATGTGGCCATAGAATGTGTTTTATTAAGCCATATAGAATATTTTATAAATAATCCATATGTATATGTGTTGATGTGAAGACACTCGACATATTTTGATCAATACATACTTATATAGACACGTATATTTGTTTTGATGGAACATTGAAAAACCAATCACATCTTGATCAATTCATACTTATATAGATACGTATATTTGTATTGATTCAACAATAAAAAAACCTACAAGTGTTGTAAGTGAAGCCAAATAAGCCAAAAAAATCAACCTGACTTACTATTCATTTGTGTATTTTTACCATGTTTCTTATCAACCGTTGTTTTACCAATCAATCAATTATATATGTATTTTTTTATATATGTATTTTTTATTACTATCAGTTTAATTATTAGGTGAAAAGCATTTCACAGTTTAAAAGTGGATAACTATTTTCCTTAAGAGAATAATTATATATAAAAAAAAAATACATCCAATACACATCCACACTTATAATCTAAATAAGACATATTTTAAATAAGACAAAAATATACAAATCAAATCATTCACCATTAAATCAATCATCTACATGAATTAACACTCGTTTTATAATAACACAAATATTCAAAACTATCAAACAAAATAAAGTTAAGTCAAACAACACTGAAGTAGTTTTTTTCCCCCTTGGTTTGGTTCACTTTTATCTTTGAGTGAAAACAATTATATGCATTTTCTTCATATCAACAAAACACCATGAAAAAAATAAAAAATAAAAATAAAACACCATGAAAACCCAAGGATTGTGTATTTCCACAGAGATCATCATAAACAAGATTTGCAAAGCTCCCCCGATTGATGAGCCCAAATCATGCTGAAGAGTGGACCTTTCGTTGAGAACGTGTCGCTTGATGCAACCGAAAACCCAGGAACCCACATGAGCACGAGTCGGTCTTCCCGGTGGCTTTAGGGCTGGTCTAAGTGGGCCAGTCCCGGATGCCCAACCACTTAGAATTATCGGGCCGGTCAGCATATTGGCTCAACCCACTCGGGGTGTCAGCCTGGAAATGGGGCCCGACCGGGACAACTTTTTTGTGGAGATTGCCGCAGATAAAATTCAGCAACCTCATTGATTGGCGGAAAGGCTTGCTTTGGTTTCCATCCAATACACACTGAATCTTGCTACTGGTTTCATAATTAGGAAATTATTCTGGGCTCAGCCAATTCGAACATTTTACAGATCCATCGGAATCTATGTTAGGAGGTGTATGTCTATGAGAGAATATTCGAATGTTAGTAAACTGTTGGAAATTGGAGTTTTCTCACCCTGGCAATGGGTGGGGAGTCCAATGAAGTAAGCAAACGTTAAGTTGGTGGCTCCAGCTTATCTTTTACGAACAGGTCGAGTTTGCGCTTTTTCTGGAAAAAAAGAAAATAAGTCATATTCATGTTGTATAAATATTAGCTAGTAATGCATAAGCAGATCAGAGGGAATTTCTACCATCAAGATCTACTTCTTATGACGCAAAGTCCACCAACCAGCACTACTTCTCTTATACATACTTAAAATTTGAACCTAAAATGTCCATTAACCTTCAACAAATCTATGAGTAAAACTGATAAACATGAAAAAATCAATCAGAAGGATTTCCCTTATCCCCGATGCTATACGCAAACTCAGAATCTAATAACGATAAGAGCTTCGACTTTATAACTACAGAATCTCCTCATGACCACTTCACGACTTTACTTAACATCTATTGGCATACACCTTATACTCATAGCAAACGTGCAATCTTCCAGTATTCAGTAAGTCTAATAATATAAGACCGTAAAGGCTAATAAGTTGAATTCCTTTAATTCAATTATTTTTTGTGACTCAACTAATATATTGAATTATTTTATGATCAATATAAGAATATTTCTGGCACTTATGAAGTAAGTATCACACAGTAGTACTTCAATCAGATGGTTCACGTGACAGAAAGTTTGCATGCATTTAGAGATAAAGTTGTCAAAATGTTATCAGTGATTCTTATGTAAAAAAAAAAAGAAAGAAAGAAAGATCAAACACATCTTCAAATAGATTTAGAAACAACTCATTTGATTATGAAACAATTGGTTGAGAAAATTATAAGAAGCGTGTCGTATTAAGTAAGAAGTCATTACCATACTCATAACGACTAAGATTCTCGTGTAGTTGGTCCTGTGTCCAACCAGATCTCTGAAGTACGACTCTTAAACCAGAGCACCTAGCATTCGCAAAAGAAAATATAAGCATGCATTAGAATGGAAGGATACGCCATGAATTTTCAATTTTCTAAATGATCCCTAGAAAGGTCATTTCCTTCTGTATTATGCAAGGCGTACTCAAACACCTCAACTTTTGACATAAGAGGCAACTGATCAAATGAGGAGAAAAACCGAGCATTAATTTACGTTCATGATTTAAGCTGATCTGCAGAAGCTAGAATAGCATAAATTATCAGGAAATGGATCGGAAGCTTATTTACCAATCCAAAGGGCCTCATATCTTTTGATAGACAGATCCTTTCACAACAGTTTTTCTTGAATTTGCAGAAGCTTATTTACCAGAGCTGGTATAGTAGCATTCAGTAGTTGATAAATAATATAAAGGCAATGAAAAAGCATTCAAATAATCACCAAACAATGGTAGTTGATAAGGTTCCGACTTTCGAATAATATTACTCTCAAAAGTTAAATTAACTTCTTATAAAACAAGGATGCATAATTTAGCAATATGAGCGACATGATCATTGTGCAGTATTAGGCCGACATGATATGTAATCACTGTTAATCGCATATAATATGATTAGGTTTGGTAATCACTGCTATAAAATATGACCCATTTATTTTATCCAACCTAAACCTGAAGCATCATAAACACAAACCACTATACGACTTCCCAGAACATAGACAATCTGACCACAAACAGTACATACAGACAACCATAAATATTTCTGCTACACTCGAACAGTCGGACATAAATACTTCAGAACAAAACAAACAAACAACAAAAAAAAAATCCTAAAATAACCATAACATTCCATAAAATATAAAATGGGAGTAATATTCAGTAAAGGAAAATATAATCACCTGCAATCATCCTTAAAACAATAGGATATCTGAAAGGCTGATGTATAATAATATCGCACAAACAAATAACTAAGTAATCATACAAAAACTATATATATGAACAATGTGATAAAAGATGTTGATTTAACTTTAAGAAAACAACAGAAAGATCAAAGCAAAAACTACCTTTAATCACGAAAAAAAAACAGAATCCCTGCAAGAACATTTCATGCAGACATATAGCATAAATTATCAGAATTAAATGTTACAAGCAACTCATTGTCTAACAATGAAGAATATAATCAAGAATACAATGATATAAATTAAACACTGAGGGTTAACTACATATACTACTTTTAAACATTTATCTGCTTAATATAAATTCTAATTATTCTTTAAGAAGTGTAAATATCAGCCAACTATCACAAACACCCCTTACCTTCATAAATATACAGTACATCCTGAAGGATGATTGGCAAATAATTTGTCAAGCAAAATGTCCTTATGCAGTTCTAAAAATTCAAGCATATAATTATATATGCATAGGTTTACAGTTTTGACTCTTGAAGGGACTATAAGAATGCTCTTACTACTGTTTCTCCATAAAATTTAAGTTGATAGAAAATTAAGTCAATTGTTTGCGACCGAGAGAATAGAAAATGATGAGACCACTGAATTTGATGAAATTTACCTTTCTTTGATTCTGTAGACTAATGGTGGTGGTGGCGGAGGTAGTGTAGACTGAGGAGACAGATCAACAGGCTCCTCACACAAATCCTTAAAAAAAATAATAATCTAAAAACAGGTTTATTGACAAAAAAGATATAAAAATTCATAATTTTATAAAGATTTCCTTATGGATTATCTTTTTATATATAAATGTAGAGTTTTTCATTGTCAATCTCCAACGGTTTGTAATTCTATATGTTAATTTCAAAGGATTCGAAATAGTACATATAACTATGGATCTTTATCCAGAACTTTCAAGTTTAAACGCTTTGGTAACATAAATTGTAAATACATTTTAAAAGTTAATAACATTTGTATATATTATCATTTTTATATATGATAACTTAAATTTTAACAATGTGTAATTTGACATTCATATTGTATATGTAAATTAAAATAATTATATATAACTGATCTGTATCAATAAATAATTAAATATATATCAATTATAATTGAAAATAATAAATTTATCTATCAGGCTTATTAAGTGGTATAAGTACTAAAAATGTTCTAATATAATATCGTCGAATCCGACTGGTGAGGTGTATCATTTTAAATAAAAACAATTATGTTATTTTGTAAGAATTATTTAAAAATTTAAAATAAAATTTTAAATTTTTACATATATTAAATATAAATTTTTGATTAACTCATATTAACTATGTGTAGTTAGCACAAAAAATTGAGCCTAGGAAATTGCCTAGGCTCGCGCTAGTGTAGATCCGCCATTGAGTACTTATATTAACAATTAAACAAATCGTTGGAACAACTGGGTGTTGAGGGGTTCTCTATTCAATTTGTCTTTGATTTGATGCTAAAAAATAAAATTGAGAATGAGGTCTGGTTATTTTATTTTTCGTTTTTATTAATACTAGCACATAGCCCGTGCGATGCACGGGATGGTATATTTTCCTGAAATGTTTAACGTGTGAAATATTAAAAATAATATAATTTATATATATGTAATAAAAATAAATGGATTGCAAAGAAGGAAAAAAAATATAAATTATTGAACACTTTCTTTGTGAAGTGAAATTTGTGAAGGTTTGGTATATTTGATTATGAATAAAAAAGTATGAAATACTACCTGCGGACCGTTGAGATAGATGAGAAGATTTACTTAGAATATATAGAATAAATATTGAGATAATGATTTACCTTTTACCTAGTATAGACTAAATAAATATTGACATGATGTGGGAAAATTATGACGAATTATGACATAAATTCGTTTAGAAAATATTCAAAAATTAGATTTATTTTTTATTTTTTAAATCCTTACAGTAATTCGTACGCTCCTTTTCATACGCTTAGTTTATCAATTTTACACATACAAATAAAAATTAATGCAACTCGAAATATTATATAACAAATAAAATGAGATTTTTATCTAACATTTAGTATATTGCCGGAAAATTTTTTATAAATCTTATTCTCTTTTTATGCACATAGATATTAAAGAATGAGTAAAAAAATATCTAAATATGTTAAAAGTATCTAATATTATATGTGTTAACAATGTTACAACCAAAAGACATTAAGAATACGCAGACTATTATATAACATATGTGAAAGTATTAAAATATTTTATTTTATTATTGAAAAATGTGAAATTACCTCAACTTTGTCTAGACTATTTTATAAGAAAAATATATATACTTAAAGTTAGCACACACACATATATATATCCTTAAAATTTGCCCAACTAACATGTTTAAAAGTATATAAAATTTTATATATAAAATACGTTTAAAGTTTACATATTTTACAAAAATTAGACTGCTCTCAGTTTATATAAAATTTGTTGCTCTCATATTCGGATAACGTATTATGCATTTAATGAAAGCACCCTACGATACAAATTTATAAATATTAATGAAAATAATTTTCTAAATTATATAAAATTGAAATAACAAAGGTAAATATTACCTGTTCATCGTGAAAATGCGTTACAGCTCCGTTCGTGATGGGTTTCAATAATGCGGACTGCTCTCAGACGCAAAAAAGGTTTGTTATAAATATTAATTAAAATAATTTTCTAAATTATATAAAATTGAAATAACAAAGGTAAATATTACCTGTTCATCATGAAAATGCGTTATAGCTCCCCCGTTGGTGATGGGTTTCAATAATGCGGACTGCTCTCAGACGAAAAAAAAAAAAAGGTTTGTTTCTTTTGTTAACGTACCCCAGTCCGGAAGCATTATATATCAAGTGTACCCCAGCCTGGAAGCATTATATTGTATATGCGATGAAAAATTATTCTCTGTATTTTTTTTTCTCTGAACTCGTGAATGATGAGTTGTAATGGTGGCAGTGAATATCTTTTTATACAATTTTTTATTAACAAAAGTGATAAGATAATTATGGATTGTATTTGGATAGATATTAAATTCCATGATTTTTGGGATGCAACAACAAAATATGCAATCACATGTATATATCTTATCACGTTAAAGGTATATCCATCCCTAAAAAAAGGGAAATATATAATGCCTTAATTGACGGAATTTGTGTATTTTCGTAACAGATTTGCTTAATTAATGGGATCTGATACTTAATTAACGGGAATACCAATTACAAAATCCTATTCACGATTTTTTTTTCAAAATTTGATTGAGATTACATAAATAGAAAGTCAAAAGTCAACTCAATTTATTTTAAATTTCTAAAAATGATTTTTACATCAACCTTTTTATATAGATATAGATTATTAAGAAATATACCAAAAATATTTTACAATCATTTTTCCTTCATTTTTTATGTAATAGGAAATAAACAAGTCATTTTGAAATATAATTTATTAACTTAAAAAAGCCTAAATGTCTTTATTTTTGTTCATGTTATTTTATAAAGATTTCCTTATGGATTATCTTTTTATATATAAATGTAGAGTTTTTCATTGTCAATTTCCAACGCTTTGTAATTCTATATGTTAATTTCAAAGGATTCGAAATAGTCCATATAAATATGGATCTTTATCCAGAACTTTCAAGTTTAAATTCGGTAACATAAATTGTAAATATATTTTAAAAGTTAATAACATTTGTATATATTATCATTTTATATATATGATAACTTAAATTTTAACAATGTATAATTTGACATTCATATTGTATATGTAAATTAAAATAATTATATCTAACTGATCTCTATCAATAAATAATTAAATATTTATCAATTATAATTGAAAAAATTAAATTTATGTATCAAGCTTATTAAATGGTATAAGTACTAAAAATGTTCTAATATAATATCGTCGAATCCGACTGGTGAGGTGTATCATTTTAAATAAAAACAATTATGTTATTTTGTAAGAATTATTTAAAATTTTAAAATAACATTTTATGTTTTTACATATATGAAATATAAATTTTTGATTAACTCATATTAACTATGTGTAGTTAGCACAAAAATTGAGCCTAGGCAATTGCTTAGGCTCGCCCTACTGTAGTGTGTAGATCCGCCATTGTATATAAAATTAAATAATAGTAACAACAAAAATAGTTTTAATTTTAAATATTTTTATTTTAAAATATGTTATCATTTATAATTAAAATAACACTATCACTTACATGGCTTATCATCTTATATTATTTTTTCAATTTATTTCAGATAATTACTTTGTAGTTCAGTTAGTTTAAATAATTTTATTATTTTGAATTAATATTAATAGGTAATTTAATTTAATTATAAAAATAAAAAAAATTGTTATTTATTTTTTTATATATAATATGGATATCAAATCGAAGCTCTCCAAGACATGATTAATTTAATGTTATATATATATATATATATATATTAAATTACTGTTTTATATTATTTTATACTAAATATATTTTATTATTTATATGTTTATATTTTATTATATGAAGAACATAAGACTAATTCTTTCTTTTAAATTGTTTTTTCATTAATTAATAAATTCAAGTTCATTTTATATATCCTATATTAATTATTAGATTTATTAATAATATAAAATTATTATTTTTTATTTACTTATGTTAGGCAATCCCCTCTATATATAATTTCAGAATGCGCTGAGCCTACGTGGCAAACTCTCATGCTTCAGAATCTTATTTGATAAAAAATTATGCTTTGGAGTTGGGCTTGGATATAAATTAATATTTGTATTAATTGTATTTCAATATCATTTACTATTATTACCATTGAATTGCAAATATATTTTAAAAGTTGATAACTTTTGTATTTCTTATTGGTTTTACATATATAATATATCAAATTAATCATCTTTTGATGAGCTTCGATTTGACATCCATATTGTATATATAAAATAAATAAATTATATTTATCTTTATAATAATAATAGAATTATTTATTAAAATTAATTAGAAAATAAAATTATTTATCAATTAATATATTTATGTTTAATGTAGTTATATATTATAAGGTAGAAAATTTAATTAATATAACGCATATCCCTCCTTAATATAATTTCAAAACGTGCTGAGCCTAAATGGCTGGTTCGCACGCTTCGGAAGCTTACTTGGCAACATTACATGTTTCGACTTTTGATTCGGATAAAAATAATACAATTATATTCCAAAATAAATAGGACCCCAACTCCAAATAGGATTCTTATTCTTATCTCGTCCAAATAGGATTCTCATTCTTATCATAGTTTATTTTAATTCCTTCAAAAGTTTTTTTTAATCACTTATTCTTATCCAAAATTCACATATGTAATACACGGATCTAAACTATCACCGCCTGTTTAAATATATAAAAAAAAATAAAAAAATCGAACTTTAAAGGTTGTTGCATATTTCTTATTCTTATAATGTCGTGTATAATAAATTTGAAATGCCGTGTATTTTGCTTAATCCTACTATTATATGAGCCGTGTAGGATAAAGTGTTTCAAATGTTAAGAATCCTATTATGCCGTGTATTTTGCTTAATTCGAAATCGGTTTGACAAAGTTCTCTACATTATTTAAATCACCATCCCCCTTCATTCTCATAGCCCCTTCATCTCAATTATTCATCTTACAGAAATTGAATTTACCATGACAACTGTTTTCAACACAATTGAGCGTTATGGTTCAAACATGACAAGAACCACCTGAAAATCGTGTTGTAATGGAGATTTGTGTCTTAGACAAAAAAGTTACACGGTGGTTTCAATTCAGCACCTTATCCTTCGTATTCCCCTTCTGATTATTATCATATGAGCTATAGGTATTATATTTCGAGTTATTTTATTACATCAATTATAGTCATATATATATATATATATAAATAAATTATTATTATTGCCTCTCCTTGAATTGTAATGTGTTTGTGTTGGTTCTGGCCATGTCAAGAATGCATTTTATCCTCTGCGTTATGTTTAAGAAATTTCTAGAAAATCCTTAATTTGGTATAACTGGTTATGCTTATAGAGTTAGATTTGTTTTCCCCTGTAGATATACAAGATGATCAAATATAATCTTTTGTTTTGCATTTATCTCAACAGTCAATTTCCTTTTCATTAATCCAGCAAGCCTGAAAAAAAATATTTAAACCAAATACACATGTAAATACACCGGTGTTGAATTAGGAAGCATATGTAAAAAATAATAATTTTTTTAAACTAAAATAATTAATTTAATATAAAATATTACTTTGGGTTTTCATGAATTTGTCAAATTATATAGAGTCTGAATATTTTTGTTTTCTATTTTTGCACTTTTATACGACAATAGGTATTTTTTCTATTATTTATTGTTTTATATTTCTTTTCAAAGAACCCGTGTAGTACACGGGTGTCGTACTAGTTTCTCTTATTTACAAAATATTATATCCGACTAGCGCATCGAAGCTTCTCTAACAATGATCGAGTCTCATTCAACACGTGGATTCGGTTCATGGTCAGACTGTTGAGTTAGAAAATTTAATAGATCGATTATTCGACCACATTAATAGAAAACTTAATAAACCGATTTATTGTGAAAGTATGTCTATTTCATCAATGAAATATTCAAATATAATCGGTTTTTTGCAACTTGATCTGTACTTGTTCTTAAGGTTATGTTTGTAAAAGAAATATTCAAATAGAATGAAAATATGCATTGGAGATGAAAATCAACAATTGTTATTCAGTCCGTGCTTTCATATGAAATAACCGCCATGTAGCAGAAAATTTTAACTTTTGACGTTGAAGCATTGGAGATGCTAATCTTTACATGTTGGTTTCACTTTGATATGATCCATCCATATTACCTTTGCCCTTAAAGCTAAGTAAGATATCCCTAGTGTGGGTATCCGACAAAGCAGCGTTTGATCTGAGCATGTGAACCTAAATTTCAAAAGGTGGTTTGTGATGTTGGGATTGAGGAGTCAAAAAAGTGGGTTTACTTAAATCACGGAACAATTTCTATAGCTGTACCCCACCTTTTTTTAATATGTTATTTGCCAATAGAATATAAAATTGTACTATGCCTATATCAATTACTGAAACCACTTTGTTAATACTGGTAAAAGCCGTGAAAAATTGAACCCAACCTTTTAAAATAGTATAATATGGTTGCTCGCTGACTTTTGATTCCATGCCTGTGTGTATCTTTTAATTTAAGTTTGATTTTTGGTAGAGTGAGGGTGGGGAGTTGAGTGTAGAAGAACCCATTGGTGGTTTTAACAATGTTGTGCTTCAGCTTGAGGAGGCTGCTGTTTTCCTTTGTTGTAATCTTTCTTCATGTTTCTGGGTTTTCACTTTCACAGTCTAATTTTCCCACTCATCAAACATCAGGCGAGTACTTTTCCTTTGGCATTTTAGTTTCATTGTGTACATATATTTGCGAGCTCATACATTGGCTATATTTTCATGCAGGAGAAAGAACAGAAAGGCTGCTGCAAGTCGCTGATGATTTATCAGGTGAGCAACAAGCAGTGCTTGTGTTGGCTCCAAGGAGGACTTACCGTAAAGACCCTCTCAACGGCTTTACAAGGTACACCGGAGGTTGGAACATTAGCAACCGCCATTATTGGGCTGTAAGTCTTTTTTTCTTAACACTCTTAATTCTTCTCCTTCTGCTTTGCTTACCAAAAGGATTATGTTTTATGTACATTCATCTGCTTTGAGCGTCAAAAGGCTAAACATCAGAATAGCATAGCAGGGCCATAATGAACAGAAATGAGACCAAATGCTTTTTTGGTCCAACAAATTGCACATTTCACTTTTTTCTCCATTATCTACATTAATTGAGTTTCTTTTGGGTGGCATTAGTGGCTGATACTCACGAGTGTTTGATGTATGTTTTATAGTTTGACAGGTTTCTTATTTAACCGTTGCATTGCAGTCTGTCAGCTACACAGCAGTTCCTTTTTTCGTTATTGCCTTAATCTGGTTCGTTTCATTTGGGCTTTGCTTGTCTCTCATCTGCCTCTGCTACTGCTGCTGTCGAAAGGAGCCATATGGGTATTCCGGGATTGCTTATGCGCTCTCTCTCATTTTCCTCCTTCTCTTTACCGTCATTGCAATGTACACCTCACTCTCTCTCTCTCTCTCTCTCTCTCTCCCTCCCACAAACACATAATGGTGTATTATTAGTAGTAAAAAAATATTTACATACCTTGTTTGTTTTTCAGGATTGGATGTGTTGTGTTGTATGTCGGGCAAGACAAATTTCATAGCAGTACAAGCAGCACTTTGGAATATGTGGTCCATCAGGCAGATGGCATATCCGACAATCTTAGGAATGTGTCGCAATATTTGTCGGAGGCCAAGCAGATTAATATGGTTGGTCAAGTGTCTCTGCCTCCAACTGTCCAAACAGATATTGATCAGATTCAAACCAATGTCAACTCTGCAGCTCGTACTCTATCCGAACAAACGCACGACAATTCCAAAAAAATAAAGAACCTGATAGAATCAGTGTAAGCAGACGCCCCAAAATAAGCAGTGTTGTTGAAATAAGTGATACAATAAATTTGATCTTGCAGGAGATTGGCTCTTATCATACTCTCTGCTACTATGCTTATTCTCACTTTTCTGGGATTCGGTATGCCTATTCTTCTTTCCTTTACACAACTTACTCCTGGTAATATTATTTTATTCTGTTCACTTTCCTTTTCTTTTTCAGCTTTTTCAATGTTTGGCATGCAGATACCTGTGTACATGTGAGTGACTAGTAGAGTGGTTTACAACTGCTTCATACTCACACTCAAAAATAAAGAAGAAAGATTTTTATTTTTTTTTTATAAGTCAATATGATTGAATTATGGATGCAGCTTGGTGATTACTGGATGGATTCTTGTGACTGGAACATTCATACTCTGTGGCATTTTTCTTCTTCTCCACAAGTATGTTAAGCCATACGAAGAATTTATATTATTATCACATGATTGTGAGCACTAGTTAAAATATCCATCTGACGGTCCTGATTGGTTGATGACATTTAGTGTGACGGGAGACACCTGCGTAGCAATGAATCAGTGGGTCCAAAACCCGACAGCTGAAACAGCTCTAGACGATATACTGGCGTGCGTGGATAAAAGCACTGCTGAGGACACGTTGAACAGAAGCAAAGAAGTAACATCTCAGTTAGTCGATCTGATTAATACGGTTATCACTAATGTCTCCAACATCAATTTTGCTCCCAACTTTGTGAATTTATACTACAACCAATCGGGTCCGCTTCTGCCAACCCTCTGCAACCCGTTTAATCATGACCTAACCGAGGGAGCATGTACCCCTGGCGAGGTGGATCTCAACAATGCCACCCAGGTGAATTTATATATATATATATAAATTATATATATAGTAACAATTTATGATTTTGATGTGCGTGACTTGGGTCGGGTTGATGCAGGTTTGGAGTGGGTATGTGTGCCAGGCATCACCAAACGGCATTTGTATGACCACAGGACGTCTGAATCCAAGCCTCTACGGTCAGATGGCAGCCACTGTCAATCTGAGCTACGGCTTGTATCAATATGGCCCATTCCTTGTTGGCCTACAAGATTGCACCTTTGTCCAGCAAACATTCTCGGATGTCCAAGTTGAGTATTGTCCGGGCCTACGAAAGCACAGCCAGCGAGTGTATGATGGGCTGCTCATGGTTGCAATAGCAGTTATGCTGTCTTTAGTATTGTGGGTCATATATGGAAGAGAGAGGCTGCACCGTGCCTATACCAAAGAGCATCATAGTAAAGCTAATAAAAAATTGCCGGAAGGTCGTGCGCATAAGATGGAGAAATAGTTTTCAAGTTTCAAACTCATGCATGGTTCCTTCTTAATCCAGATTATTGTTAATCCCAGATATTTCTTCATGTATTTGTACTTTGAAAATTATGTGTAGATAGTACTCTGTGCCTGTTTCAAAAGGCTATGGTGGGTGGATCTTGTATGCAAATTAAATGGACTTTTATGATCAGGTTCACTGGGCATAAGGCTAATTATCAAATTTTCATCAAGATCATATTCATGGATTGATTGAGTTCTTTGTAGAGGAAGAGATATAAGAAATCTAATAATCTACAACCATGGATTTAGCCTCTCTGTATGCAGCACAACATTTCAAGCAGATGGAATTGTTGTTTCAATTGTTTGACTTGTTAACAAGAATAGCCATCAGTTCCCTTCTTAATTAGACAACTTTAAATGAATTCATGTTTATATCAAAATTAAGTTCCATTTCACACAACTCCACTGTTCTCATCATCCACACCAGCATATATTGCAACATTCCCCTATATACTTGCATGCACACATACATATATATAATATCGACATGATAACAAGACATATATTTTTGTTGTTTTGTTCTCGGCCAACTTAACCAGCGATGGGCCTTTTCATCGTCACTCTTACTTTGAGCATCAGGAAGAACATAAGCATGGGAAGTAGTCTCTTGCTGACTAGATCAGACCTCGATCAATCTCGACTGATTGTTGTCGAGTCCACTTGATGCTCAAATTCAACCTTCCTGAATCGGTACCATCAATAAGGAAACTACTTGTAAATTCTCCCTCCAATATGGCTCTCGTCAGAGTCATGATGCATCTACCCATTTTCTCCTGAAAATACATGAGTGAGAGGCGAGGAAATTTTAAAATGAAGCACGAGAAATATTAACTAACTTCACAACTTCTTTTTTTTTTTGTTTCACCTTCCCAAATGTGTCATGGTCATAAACTTCAAGGATTAGCAACTCGTGTAACCCATCCTCAACTACAAAATCGAAGGTCTGATTCCAAACTGGATTCAAGGTATTGTTGAGGACCTGATAAAAGGGCATTTAGAGATAAAGCCAACAGAAGGATTTATATATTAGAGCGAATCAGTTGGATTTACACAATTTGATCATCTTAGAAGATTAATTAATATACTTACCCTAGTCTTGTAGGTCTGTTCAGACTTCTTCATTCTTAGCACCACAAAAGGATCAGATTTTCCCAAGATATCTTTAGCTGGCAAGTTCTCTGCAGATATGACCGTCACTGATAGAACTCCTCTAATAATTACATCCCTTTTTACTCTGGTTGCAGATTTCAGGGAATCTGCCCCATCAAGTGCTTCTTTGAAGGCCTTCTCCACCGTCGTTAATCTGAAGTCAGGGTCAAAAGGATTTAAAAATTCGCTCTCAGCATTCAGAGGGCAGTACAGGAGCTCCAAGTGCACCTACAATAAATCAAAGATAGGTATAAATCAGTAAATCAAACCAGGTAATATGCACAACTTTCAACAGATGCTCAATAAAAAACTAATAACAAGAGAAGATACTACACACTTCATAACATGCTTTTAGTAATAAATGCATAATTCTAAAACAAAGAAAAGCATATCATGAGCTTCATAATGTAATTTTATTTCATTACTTCTAGTCTTTTTTTTTTTTTTATTATTATAAAAAAAAAAGACATAAATTTAAGAAACTGAGTGGGGATATAAGTTTGGTCATCTCACCTGACCACGGTTTTTCTGGTCTTTCTGGATCTCAAGATCCTTCACCAGTTTCAACCACACATCTTTAACTTTACCAGCCTCAAGCTCGCCTAGTGGTAATTGAGCACAACCAATTAGTTCAGAAGCTTGAATTCCTTCATCATCATAAACTCTTATGGTCAAATGTTGGGTGGTAACATCCTCCACAACAAACTCAAAGTGCTCGTTCCAGATTGGACTTGTTTGATTGTTCTGCGACATATAATGTGCAGTTCTACTAATAACTGAAAAGTATGATATAATAAAGCACATAAAAGGCAGAGGTTCTTTACTATTGTTTTGCTAGTTTTTATCCGGTCACGTAGGGGACGGACGAATAGCTCGGCAAATGGATCAGATTTTCCAATTATGTCCTTATTTGTTAATTCCTTTGCTTCAATGAGCTTCACATTCAAAGTCCCCACTGGCTTTAAGTCTAGGTAACTGTAACAAGTAAGAGATACCAAAAAACTCTTCTAAGTTCACATAATTCGAGCAATGACATGCTGTTAGTTTGACTACAGGGCAAAGAGATAGTTAACCTGTAATCTCCTGGTAATATGGGTATGATTTTACGTACTGGCCAAGTGATAGAATCTTCAATAGCATCTCGTATTGTTTCCTACGAGTGAAAGACAAGATAAATCAATGACATTCTCATCAATCCTATCAAGTTCGAATACACCACATGGCGAGTCATAATGAGAAAATTAACAGACCTCAAGAGCATCAGATACTCCTGGAATTGCTGATATATCACCGCCAATCACTTTGAGGCTAAAGTCGAGATTTTTCTGCAGGAAAAAACATGATATGTGAAACTCAAATGAAGTTACTATGAAAATATTGTGCATTCCAGTTGGAAAACGTTGCAATATGAGAGCCCATTTTCAAACACTTGTTAACACACACCTAGAAACTCAAGACACCATCAGTTCGGACACCATGTTTATCAAACAGTGAACATGACATGTACCTTCTCTCTCAATGAATAACAAAGAGCTCCAAAACAGGGAAACTCGTCAACTAATGGTTTGAATATTATCCTAAAAACCCCAGTAAATCCAATATTTTTTACCTGCAGGCAGAGAAAACATTTAGAAATAGATCTACTCCTTGAGTTGTGAAGGGACATCGAGTGAGGAAAAAATGTGCGGATAGATAAGTTTCTCTTCTTCCACGTCAACAGAAATCAGAAACAGGATAAAGCGACAGCACCGTAATGTTCATGGTAAAAGTTTGCTTATACCTGTATTGGTAGAGTTACACCAAGTCTAGTCTTTATATCAAGTACAATTTTAGGATTTCCATCCCACTGCAAGTCCAATTCCATAATTATCTCGTCAGATTCACCCTCGATGATGGAAACTCCTTAAAGAAAGAGAGACGAGAATAAAGATAAATGAATTGTAAGCTCCCTTAGGACCCATTGCTTAAGTTGGATAGCATCATTTACAAAACTCTTAACATAAAAATAAAAAATGCAGTGGATTATCATGATTATATGATTCCGTCCACAAAAATAACACAGATTACACAACTGGAGAGTAAATATCTCCACATGACATCCTAGTTCATCATTTTCTTATCCAACCCATCTAAGCTATTCTTTCTGGAAAAGCAGGACAAGGAAGCAGACTTTTGCTAGGCAAAGAAGAAGGAACTGAACCAACCTGTGAACTGAGGTGGCACAGTACCAAGAGTCAACTTAGAGAACTTTAGAGATGCCAAAATTGCTGGACGGTATTGCTCAAGAATTGGTTCTACAGAGCTTCTTATAACCTCTGATGCTGCCTACACAACAGAAACAAGTCCCAAAAGAAGAAAAACCGAAGTGCAAAAAGGAAATAACAATCATGATGACATCAGGAGAGTTTAAGGTGCCAAGTGCCAACCTCGTCGACATAAGGCCATATCTTGTCAAGGTGGTGATTGAGCCAAGTTAACTGCGAACGAGTAGAAAATACAAGAACAGAGAGCCATGTTAGAGGCTTCGCCACACAATGATTATGACAGAGAAAGCAATAGGTAAATTCTCAACTCAACTTCTGTCTCTCTGAGAAGACAACCCAAGATGGGTATAACTGATCAGTGGGAAGGAGTTTTTTGGAGTCTTGAACTGTCATCCTCGCAAAAGCTGCAATTACTTCTGCCTGGCAGAAAAATACACATACATAATATTGAAGAACATCCATCTCGAGTTGAAAATCAATAATAATCGATGATTGAGCAAGCTGGATACCAACCAAATCAGTGCGGCATTTTGATCGGACATTTTGGTACCGCGCAAAGCACACGATCAAACCCATCCCAAAGGCGAAGCCTAAAACATAACCTACAACAAATCCCATCTCTTCAAGCTATGCTGCGTGCAGAAGAAAGGAGGACGCGTCTTGATCTTATGTTACGAATTGGGGTGTTGGATTCTTCATAAAAGTTTGTTAGATGGGTGACGAGTTGAAGTGATAATAAGTGAAAATTTGTTGACAGGAGTCACAGGACATTTGTTCTATGATTAAGGAAAGTACTGGAGAAAGAGAGCAGAATCTATCCCTTTCGTGTGCTCTGTGTAACTCTCATTTCATATGAGAATGACTGACCGCCAAAGACTAGTTAAAAATGAAATGATAATAATAATAATAATAATAATAATAATAATAATAAATTATTTATAATTTAATATATAATTAAACTATAATTTCGACAAATATGAAGTAAGGAAATTAAATATAAAAAATAAATTATAATAAAAAATAAATACAGTAAAATATAAATTCATTTGTGTAACTGATACAAATTGTACAATAACATTATTACTAATTTTCTAACATACGTTATACCAGTATTTTCAATACCGTACCGTACCGGCCGGTAATACCGGATACCGGCCATTGGTACGGTACAATTGTACACAGAATATCGGATTTACGGTTATACCGGGGTCATACCGTAAATACCGGAAAAAACCGGTCCAAAATACCAGTCATAAAAAAATTAAAAAAATTAAAAAAAAAATTATTAATTTAAAAACATAAAATTTAAATTGGTAGTTAAAATATTTTATTTTTATCTCATTGTAAGTTAAAACTAGTGATTATGGTCATTTATTTTTTTTTGTTTTTTTGCATTTGGTATAATACATTTTTATATATAAATATATATATCATTATATATGCTAATACGATAATACTACCGATATTACCGGTCCTACTGGTAATACCGCGTACCGGTGGCTAGACCAGTATGACCACGGGTACGGTATTTAAAACACTGCGTTATACTGTAACAAATTTATTATCTATCACTATGATAGGATATGCATTACGTTTTGAGTTTGAAATATCAATTTGAGTTTCAAATTTTACTAGTACAACACCCATGTATTACATGGGTGCCGACGGTGTCTCATCCCGGACCGTTCATGGACGGGTTCATAAAAGTGGGATGAGTATCCGGACAAGTCAAATCCAGGACCGTCCCGGCCGGTGCCCACCCTTACCATAAATAATCAACATATTATAGATAATCCGAACCTAAATATATTTGGATTAGAAGTAAACTAAATCTATCCAAGCCTAATAACGAAGCATGTATTTTTGCCACATAGGATCCCGAAGCATGTGAGCCTGCCACATAGGCTCATCACGTTCTCAATTAATATATAGGGGGAGGGGATTTAGTACTTAAGAAATAGGATATTGAAAAATTAATAGAGATCTGTACTGTACAGGATCCAGTAGAAATGGGCCGGAGAGTGTTGCAATAGCCCAGAAAAAAGCCTGGTTAGAAATGGGGCTTATGTTAGAGTAGATCTGGGCCCACTCGATGGGAACCGAGTCAAAAAGATACCCTCCACGTGGCAACAATCTCCTCATCCTCTCTCCCTCTGTTTAACTACCACAACCGTCTCACTCTCTCTCTCTCTCTCACACATCACATGCTCACGCATCCCAGCATTATCTCCGTGACCTACTCACAATTGGACCTTTCTCAAGCAAAGAAGAGGAATGGCGGGAAATGACTGGATTAACAGTTATCTGGAGGCGATCCTGGACGTCGATGCCGGAATCAACGATCAGAAATCATCACTGCTCCTGCGCGAGCGTGGTCGCTTTAGCCCCGCTCAGTACTTCGTCGAAGAAGTCATCACCGGCTTCAATGAGACCGATCTCCACCGCTCTTGGGTTCGGGTATCTCATCCACCGTTTTCAATAATATTTTTGTTTCCTATTTTTGTTTCATTTTTCTTTTAGCGAAAATTCATAAGATTCATGCATTGCAAGAGCATTTCAGATTTTTCATGTTTCAACTATGCTTGCTGCAGGCATCATCAATTCGGAACTCGGAGGAGAGGAATACAAGGTTGGAGAATATGTGTTGGAGGATATGGCCTTGGCCCGCAAGAAAAAACAAGTAGCCCTGCTTTTATTTTTTCATTTTCTTGTTTACCACTATCACCCAATTTTAGTCATTTTTTTTTAAGGTTGAATCCGTTATCTGTCTGCTTTGCTAATTGTATTTCATTTACCGACTTATGAGTAATTTATGCATTATCAACTTGATTTGACCTGTAGATTGAGGGTGAAGAAGCACAGCGTAGGACGAAGAGACACCTTGAACGAGAGAAGGCCCGGAGAGAGGCCACAACTGATATGTCGGAAGACTTATTAGAAGGAGAAAAAAGAGATACAGTTTCTGATCTTTCAGCTCATGGTGACACAGGTAGTGCCAGAGGCAGAATGCCCAGGGTTAGTTCTATCGACATGATGGCAAATTTGGCCAGTCCCCATGCAGACAAGAAGCTTTATATTGTCCTTATCAGGTCTAATGAATTTTCTCCTGTCTCCTATGTTATGTTAAAGGTATACGTCGACAAGTAATCTAATATTTCATTCATTCATTTTCTCCTTTTCTGCAGTCTTCATGGATTGATTCGTGGAGAAAACATGGAACTTGGAAGGGATTCTGATACAGGAGGCCAGGTAAGCACATATCAGCTTTCTTTATTTAAAGTATAATAATATACAATAATAACTCAATATCTAGTTCTGGTTAAAGAACACGACTTGGCCAAGTTACAGTGTGTTGTCAGGTTAAATATGTTGTTGAACTAGCCCGAGCCTTGGGTTCTATGCCTGGAGTTTATCGTGTTGATTTGCTGACAAGGCAAGTAATGGCCCCAAATGTGGACTGGACTTATGGTGAACCAACAGAGATGCTAAACCCATTGAACTCAGAGAATGAATTCGGGGAGAGCAGTGGGGCATATATAATTCGCATACCCTTTGGCCCGAAAGATAAGTACCTCTCTAAAGAAGTTCTGTGGCCTCATATTCCAGAATTCGTTGACGGTGCGCTCGGCCACATCCTGCAGATGTCTAAGGTCCTCGGCAAGCAGATTGGGAGTGACCAGCCACTTTGGCCTATTGCCATCCATGGCCACTATGCTGATGCTGGAAACTCTGCTGCTCTCCTTTCTGGAGTTCTGAATGTGCCCATGATTTTCACTGGCCACTCACTCGGACGTGACAAGCTAGAACAACTTCTAAGACAAGGGAGACAATCGAGGGAGGAGATAAATTCAACTTACAAAATAATGCGGCGTATAGAAGCTGAGGAGATGACTCTTGATGTTTCTGAGGTCATAATCACGAGCACAAAACAGGAAATTGAGGAGCAATGGCGTCTTTACGATGGATTCGATCCTGTTATAGAGCGCAAGCTTCGAGCTCGTATTAGACGTAATGTTAGCTGTTATGGGAGATCTATGCCGCGTATGGTTGTAAGTTATCATACTGCTCATTTTCATAGCTTATGGCTCTTGATTGCCCTTTTCTCTCTCTGTCGAAAAAGTCCTCCATTAGTATAGGGGTCACTAGTTTTTTTTAGTATCATGCCAGTTATACTTTTGTGTAACTGTGTATTTAGGTAATTCCTCCTGGCATGGAATTCCGTAACGTCATTGCACTAGATGGAGACATTGATGGAGAACTGGAAGGAAATGGAGATAGTTCTGGAACTCCTGATCCACCTATTTGGTCAGAGGTGGTCTATTTTATGCTCTATGTATACAATTAACCAAAAAAAAAAATCATTTCTTTGCTTGGAAAAGGTTTTCTGATTCTTTTTACGGACTTAATCGAAAAGTAAGTTATTTAAGCCTCTTTTGTCTTCTTTTCCGCCACCAGATTATGCGTTTCTTTAGCAATCCACGCAAGCCTATGATACTTGCTCTTGCTAGGCCAGACCCAAAGAAGAATCTGATCACTTTAGTCAAAGCTTTTGGAGAGTGTCGCCAGCTGAGAGATCTAGCAAACCTAGTACGTAGTAGTTTTTGCTCATTCGCAGTTATCCAGCTGATGAAACTTATTAAAATGTGTAATAGTTGTTGTTGTTTTTTTTTTTTTTTTTTTTTTTTTTTTTTTTTTTTTTTTTTTTTTTTTTTTTTTTTTTTTTTTTTTTTTTTTTTTTTTTTTTTTTTTTTTTTTTTTTTTTTTTTTTTTTTTTTTTTTTTTTTTTTTTTTTTTTTTTTTTTTTTTTTTTTTTTTTTTTTTTTTTTTTTTTTTTTTTTTTTTTTTTTTTTTTTTTTTTTTTTTTTTTTTTTTTTTTTTTTTTTTTTTTTTTTTTTTTTTTTTTTTTTTTTTTTTTTTTTTTTTTTTTTTTTTTTTTTTTTTTTTTTTTTTTTTTTTTTTTTTTTTTTTTTTTTTTTTTTTTTTTTTTTTTTTTTTTTTTTTTTTTTTTTTTTTTTTTTTTTTTTTTTTTTTTTTTTTTTTTTTTTTTTTTTTTTTTTTTTTTTTTTTTTTCTGATTGAATTTTGTGGCAGACTTTGATAATGGGAAACAGGGACACAATTGATGATATGTCTTCTACAAATTCATCTGTCCTCCTTTCTATACTCAAATTGATCGACAAATATGACCTGTACGGTCAAGTTGCATATCCGAAACATCATAAACAATCTGATGTTCCTGATATATACCGCCTGGCTGCAAAAACCAAGGTATAAATTGCATTGGTCTAGTGGCTTTGTATTTTAAAAACCGCCTAATGTGAAATGCTTGCTTTTGTAGGGTGTTTTCATCAATCCAGCTTTTATTGAGCCCTTTGGTCTCACCTTAATTGAGGTGTTACAAAACTCATTTCTTTTGTTATCAGTATTTTTCGTATTCATATATGAGTTGTCAAAAATTTATACACCCAATGACTACTTAAAAAAACTTCATTTTCCCTGAGCAGGCAGCAGCCCGTGGTCTGCCAATTGTTGCCACAAAAAATGGAGGTCCCGTTGACATTCATAGGGTTTGTTGGCTGAAATAAGCCTCTATGCATATCGCTTGTACATATATATATATATATATATATATATATATACATATGAATATCTTACAATGATGATGTCGACATCATAAATTGGTACTAGGTTCTTGATAATGGTGTGCTAGTCGACCCTCATGACCAGCAGTCGATTGCCGATGCCCTCCTGAAGCTTGTGGCGGACAAGCATCTGTGGTCCAAATGCAGGGAGCACGGACTCAAGAACATTCATCTCTTCTCATGGCCAGAGCATTGCAGGACATATTTAGCGCGAATAACGAGTTGCAAGCAGAGGCATCCAAAATGGCAAAGAAGCGAGGACACAGGTTCAGAATCCGATTCTCCCGGGAGTTCCTTGCGTGATATTCAGGACCTCTCTCTGAAGATGTCATTAGACGGTGAGAGGACAGAAGGCAGCATTGGCTCACTAATGCTCAAGAGCCAAGAAAGCGATAGGAGAAAGCAGCAGTACTCATCACCTGCTCTGAAGCTGCTGGCACCAAACAACGAGCCCATGGAGAAACCGGACAACTCCAGATTTCCTGCTCTGAGAATGAGAAAGTTAATCTTCGTCATCGCCGTGGATTCAGATTCGCTGGCTGATACGCTCGATAACAGCAAGATGATAATGGAGGCAATGGGCAAGGATAATTCTCAGTCGGTCGGCTTTGTTTTATCGACATCCTGGAGCATGTCTGAAATAAATTCTTGGCTTCTGGAGAAGGCCCCCGAGCTAAAGTCGTGTTATTTTGATGCTTTCATATGCAACAGCGGAAGTGAAATCTACTACCCGTCTGCAAGTCCTGATTCCGAGTCACAGTATGTGGTCGATTCGGATTATTATTCACACATCGACTATCGTTGGGGTGGGGAAAGCTTGAGGAATACCTTGGTAAGGTGGGCCGCGTCTATCAATGATAAAACAAATGATGGAGCTGTCATCAGTGAAGTCGACTCGGAATCTTCCCACTGCTACGAATTCAGGCTTCGTGACCCTGGCCCTGCAGTGGTAATAACTAATATGTATATATATATATATATATATATATATATATAGATATATATATATATATATATATATATATATATATAGTAATGAAGAATCAGCAGAATCATCATCAGTTATAATATTCATATGGTTGGTACTCTATATATGCTACTATTTATTTATAATTAATTAATGTGGATTATTATTGTTGTATATATAGGTTCCTGGTTTCCAGGAGCTGAGGAGACTGATGAGAATACAGGCACTACGTTGCCATGCGGTGTACTGCAGCAATGGTGAGAGGATAAATGTGATTCCGGTGCTGGCTTCGCGGGCCCAAGCAATAAGGTATCTGTACGTGAGGTGGGGAATGGAATTGTCCAACGTGGTGGTATTTCTGGGAGAGTCGGGGGACTCTGACTATGAGGGCTTGGTCGGTGGGCTCCACAAAACAGTGATTGTAAAGGGATGCGGGTCTCGTGCAGCAGCCAATCAGATACACGCTAACAGGAGTTACTCTCTGGAAGATGTGGTGCCAAAAGACGACCCAAAGAGTGCCGAATGCCATTTGGATGGCATCAGGGACACACTCCACAAACTGGGTCTTCTTAATTAATTAATTACCCATATTCATTTATTTATATGCATGCAAATTGCAATTACTAGCTAGCTAGCTTAGCTTGCAAATAAATCTTCTTTTGTTATGATTGAGTTTCTCCACTTGTGGGCAAGTGCCAACTCCCGCATTACAGTAATTTGACTTTTTGCACTCACTGTGAAATTGGTTGTATTGTTATACTCCAAGTCCTAGTTTTTATAGTTGAACCTCAATCTGAGTTCTTTCTGCTGGAGGTTGAGAGGCCATATACAAATATAATCCCCCAAACACTCTAGAGTTGCTTCAAAAATGAGCAAATATAATCCCCCAAACACTCTAGAGTTGCTTCAACAATGAGTTCTATGTCAGTTGAATAGATTTTGTCTGTTTGTCATCCATAGTATTTTCAATACAGTATGAATTTGGTGTGGCACATAATATTTTTTTTGTTATTATATAATTATAGAAATTTTTTCTCACATCATACTTAAAAGTTGAAATACACGACATAAGAAAAACATGCATTTTCTAGATATTTCTTCACGTGATACATAATTTATATTTTAATATTATTTTAAATTATATTTTTATGATCTATTCTATTATTTGCATTACTATTTTCAATTAACCAAACACAAGAAGTTCTTTACATAATGGTCAGTGTCAAATATATTGAAAGTTGAAATACAATTTTGAATAATAATATTTAAAAGTAATGGTTAAAAATATTGCATGAAAATTTTGGTTCAGAAACCTCCATTATTTAAATTAGTCTTGTTATTCGAAATCTTTTTTGTTTGGGGAAGATTGACAATATGAACAGTAAAACTAAATTAAAATATTTTACATGAATAATTGCATTTGATAGTTTACAATGTGGTCTTTTTATCTTGTTGAAAGAGACCATTCTTTGCCGTTATTTTTTATTGACTAAATACAACAGTTATAACTCAATTGACATATGTTAGCAAATTTTTTAAATATTATTCATTTTATCTTCCCTTTTTTTCCAGTAAATAGTTTCCGTATTCTTTGTGTTTTTTTCATTTGATCTGATTAATTATAATTATTTTCATGAGTTATAAATATATATTAAAATTCAAAATTTGGTCGATTTTTAATTTTATTTCATTCAAATACAATTATATTTTTCATGAACCGTTACAAACATATGGTACACAATTTGATTTAGATTTCAGAAATTTTACAAGATAATTCAAAAACATTAAAAACAATTATTTGGTAAATTATATTTTATTTTTTGCTTAAGAAATAAATTGATTTAAATTAAATTTTCATATTAAGTATAATTAGCGATAGTTTTGGCATAAAATAATTACGATTGAGTAACTTGTGTAAATATCAACCAGTTAATGTGTAGTAAACCACATAAAATAATAATCATAGGTTCATAACTACAAAACCTTAAAATTTCCTCAAATACGTGATGTAGATGAAACATAATATTATAAACTTTGTCGAATTAAACATATATATACACATATAAAATTGAAAAAATATTCGTCTAACATACCAAATATAATTTTTTATTCATTCAGGTTGTACTTATATATCATATGATATCTTAGGTTAGATGTAATGTCATTTACTTGATAATTTATCATAAAATTGATTGATTAAATACTTATTAAGTTGAAATTTTAGTTCACATAAATTCTTGTATGAGACGGAATAGCCATTAGGCGGATTGATCCTTCGAACTTTTTCTTAATAAAATTATATACGTATGCAATAAATCATTAAATTTTTATTTATGTTGGCTTTTAAATTATGATAATTCAATTTGAGCGTAGTATATCTTTTGGAAATATATGAATGTTCAATCGTTAGATCCTCCTAACAATTAATTTTAATATTATACTATATTTTATTATAAATATGAAAAACTGTAAAAAATAGAAAAACATGTTAGAGTATCTATAGTAATCTTGTTAACTCATTTTTACATTATTACACGACCTTTATTAGTTTCACACACAAACCACGTTTTTCGGTTAAAATTTATTTGATAATTAACTATTTTATTGTATATAATTTATCTATTATTCAATATTACTTTATTTTAAAGTAATTTAATTATAAAATAACATTATAACTATTAAATTAATTATTTTTTAATAAATAAATCGACTGAAAGGAGAGGGAACCCTATAGTTGGATTGAGTTCACTTACGCTTGAAATCAAGGGACGAAGGGCTGGTTCCATTTCCAAAAGCATAGTTATGAGTACGCACAGGATCCAGAACAACTGGCTCATCTATATAAAGTCGCTAAGGGATTCTTCTATTACTTCACTTCGCTTCGTTCGTTGAGTGCGGAATATGGGTACTCCATTCTTTTTTTTTTTCCATCCACCCCTCGTCTAACTAAGAATAAAGAATGGCAACGTAAAATATGGGTACTCCATTCGTTCGTTCGTTGCATAATCTATCTAACTAATAAAAAGAATAAAGAATGGCAACGTAAAATTCCCAAACGAAGCCACCACCATTTCAGGGCCATTTTCAGTGCTCATATTAAGACGGGTGAAAGTTGGAAGAATAAGTCTCCCTTTATTCTAGGCCAGTTAGCACACAACTCTCCCCCTCTTCTCATCATCTAAAAAATCAACAGCTTGATATGATATGGAATTAGTACTCTTGTTTGTTCAGTAGCAAAAAAAATAAGAATTAATTAATGTTGATGGCCGCCAATAACAATTAAAGCATATGGCTAAACTCAGCTGTTGCCCCACAACATCGCTTTTCTACTCATGTGTTTTCCTTCTCTTCTTTTTCTATTGCCTCAACACTCAGTTCCAATTCTTCCATTTTTCTTCTACTAAAAAACAACAGGTATCTATCTATCTATCTATCTTCTATATGCATAATGTTGTGTGTACACTACACACACTGCAAGTGCTAGGCTAGGCTAGCTACTACATGTTACAGATATTAATTTCAATATATTTTGTTTTCCTCTTGGCTGCAGAAGAATGCTGGAAACATGGACAAATTAGAACAAGAACTGGCGAAAGCTCGAGCAGCCATACGCGAAGCCGCACGAAATTCTAGTTGCTCGGTTAACTACTACAATAGCCCCAATGAATTTATTCCAAGAGGCTCCATTTACAGAAATCCTCCTGCTTTTCACCAGTTAAGTTTATGACCAATTCAATCAAGAAAATAAAAATAAGACCTTGACTTGAGTGAGCAATAAATGAATGAATTAGTACTGTGTGGCTCAGTTGCATGCATAGACAATCAGACACCATGTTTGTTTAATTTAAATTTTGTCCTGTTCCAATATGATAAATTAGGAGCTACATGGAAATGGAGAAGAGGTTGAAAATATGGGTGTACAGAGAGGGTGAGCCTCCACTATTTCACAGGGGGCCAATGAAAGACATATACTCGATCGAGGGGCACGTGATAGACGAACTGGATAGGGATAACCCTTACCGTACGTATGCAGCCCGGCACGCTGACGAGGCCCACGTCTTCTTCCTCCCGATTGGCTTCACAAATATAATCCATTACATGTACACTCCTCGCATCACCTATGATCGTGGGCCTATGCAGAAGGTCGTGGAGGATTACATCCAACTTTTGGCCCATAAATATCCCTATTGGAACAGGAGCCAAGGAGCCGACCATTTCTTAGTCGCATGTCACGACTGGGTAGTACTAAATACTAATCATCATCATCACCAACTAGTACAGTACATATAATATTAATTAATAATTCGATTTGCATTTGCAGGGACCAGAAGTGTCGGCTGCGAATCCCGAGCTCTTCAAAAACATGATCAGAGTCCTGTGCAACGCAAATGTTTCGGAAGGTTTCAAGCCGTCACGGGATGTATCCTTGCCTGAGATCAAAATCCTAGATGACATCGGGCTGGGCCCACCGGACTTGAGCTGGCAGCCCGAAGAAAACAGGTCGGCCCTCGCCTTCTTTTCTGGTGGACCCCACGGCCATGTGAGGGAGGCGCTATTCCAGCACTGGCAAGGCAGAGACGCGGATGTTCGTGTGTACGAGTACATACCAAAGGACATGAACTACTTTGAGCTAATGTCGCGCGCTATGTACTGCCTTTGCCCGAGCGGGTTTGAGGTGGCGAGCCCCAGATTGGTGGAGGCAATGCACGCCGGATGTGTGCCAGTTGTCATCTCTGACGGTTACCCGCTGCCTTTCGGGGATGTTCTTGATTGGACTAAATTCTCCGTCCATATTCCGGTGAGGAGGATACCCGAGATTAAGAAGATATTGCAAGGGATTCCGAGGGAGGAGTATCTGGAAATGCGGAGACAGGTTTTGAAGGTGAAGAGGCATTTCGTTCTTAACAGGCCACCTCGACCCTACGATCTTTTAAATATGGTGCTTCATTCCGTGTGGCTCAGGCGCCTCAATGTCAAGTTATAAATCATCATGCAGATTTCTCTCTATTAATCTTCATTTTTTTTTTTTTATGAAATGGGAACAGTAGAGGATTTTCGTACTGGGAGAGAGTTAGTGATTATGGTATGGAACCTACCTGAGTTTGATACTTACTGTTTCTTCTAATCAATGGATGTACAGTTATTCCTAAGTGCTATAAAATGTTGTGATCATGATGATACTTGAGAATCCACAATTAAACTTTTTACGTGCAACATTATGCTAGCTTGCTGTCGTATAATATAACTGTGTTTGTGATGCAAAAGGATCGATGCACTGAGCCCCTCATCAATCACGATTTCGTATAGATTATATGTTACATGGAACAAAACAAGTTTCAATCTTCATCATCTCCTTACTCGTTTTTTCATTTCGAATGCAATCAATCCATGTAGAGTTAACATCATTTATATATAAACCAGGGCTGGACCAGATAGAAAACAATCCCTTGTGTATGTATGTTAAAGGATGACTGTAACCCACAGAATGTTTTTTTGTGTAAAATGAGGTACCTAAATTAAGTATACTTTATTCCTATATATGTAACCTACATAAGAGGAAAGAATACAAACAAAAGAATTCCATATATAGGAATCCACTCCATTGGATTTGGAGGTACCAGAAACTCTCATCTCTTCCCCACAAAATATGGATGAACCTCTCTTTGTTGATGCGCATGGAAGACCATTTTCTGCAACAAAATACAAATGCATATCAGTTAATTACACCCGCACGTGCATGTACGCATATACCTTTCTCTCTAAATCCTCTTCTCTAGCAACTAGAGAAAGAGAGAAGGGATTGTATTAAATATATCACCGAATGGCGATTCTGTATGGTGTTGTGGCGCGTGGGTCAGTTGTGCTAGCAGAGTCAAGTGCCACGTCATCGACCACCGCCAATACAGTAGCCCGCAAGATCCTGGAGAAGATCTCAGCCGCTAATCACAATACCAACGTCTCTTACTCACAAGATCGCTACATATTCCACGTCAAACGCACGGATGGCCTCACCGTTCTCTGTATGGCAGAAGACAACGCTCAGCGTATGTGAATCCAACTTTTCTCTCTATCGATCAATTAATAATGCTGCTCTTTTTTTTTATTTTTATAGTTGAATGAATAAATTCTTCAGGGAGAATTCCTTTTGCATTCCTTGAAGAAATTCACCAACGATTCGTGCAAACATATGGGCGAGCCGTGCTGACTGCCCAAGCCTATGCAATGAACGATGAATTCTCGAGGATTCTGAGCCAACAAATGGAGTATTACTCAAGGGACCCTAATGCTGACAGAATTAACCGCATCAAAGGCGAAATGAGTCAGGTGAAGATCGACAAGAAAATCCATATGTTCACATTTTATAACTAGTTTTAGCCAGATTTGTTGTTATACACATAGAAAATCATTGTTGCAGGTGCGGAGTGTGATGATAGAGAATATTGACAAAGTTTTAGAGAGAGGAGATCGACTGGACTTATTGGTCGGTAAGACGGCGTATATGCAAGCCAACAGTTTTCGCTTCAGAAAACAGACTCGCCGTTTGAGAAACAACGCCTGGTGGAGAAATGTCAAGCTAATGTGAGTAGTAACTTGCATGAAACACACCAACCCATGATTCATTGACCAAAAAAGATGAGATCCATCATTCTCTTTTTATGATTGTTTTTGCAGGATGGCATTGATTTGCCTTGTCTCGCTAACAGTTTACGTTGTTATGGCTTTTGTTTGTCATGGCCTTACACTTCCATCTTGTCTGAAATGAGAGTCTGATCGAGCAGGCACCCAGATTACACTTCCAGCTAGTATGCTTACCTGTAGAATCACCAACATTGTATCCTTTCTCTATTTTTACATACCCTTTATCTTAAGAATACACATTGAGATTTCATACATTTTTCCACTTGCATCTCAGAGTACAACAGAACTGATGGACTAACTGAAAGACTTGGTGAATGGAATTCGATCAAACTCATCGTTTCATACATTTAAAATTTACGAGAAGAGGAAAAGAATAAATAACACGTCATTTCTACTCTGTAGAGAGACAATGGCTGAAAAATGTGATCCGACAAGCCTACAATCTAATTGCTCTATGGAAGAGTTCTCACCCAAACTGCTGGCACTGACATTTTACTCGTCTTTCAGTTCAAATCAATCAGCATTGACTAGCATGGGAGAAATTTATGGTTTGTTTCTAGCTCACAATTTCAAATAATGTTATAGCAGCAAAGACAAGGAAGAGTACACCACCAATGTATGCAATAACCTGTTCAACACAACAGTGCCAGCAACGAAAAGATAAATAGAAGTCATGTTATTTTAGCTAAATACACGGAAAAGAGAAGGAAAAATTAAAATGAAAAAACAAGAAAAAGACGCACACACACGCACGCACAATTTTCCTTTCTGCATAGATCACAAAAGAGAACAGTACCTTCTCAGAGAGGTATGTTCCCAGGAAAGATCCTCCCAAAACAGCAAGCTGCAAATGGAGCTGGTACCACTTAAAAATGTGGATCGGATGATTGATTCAAAAGAGAAATAGTGCGGCAGAACAATATACTCATGGTACTACTGTTTTTATTTGATCTAACTAACGTAACAAATCCCGTAACTAAAAAGTGGTGGTAAAGAAGTTTGACTATTTATAAAGCTCGGAATTACCAAAGTTGCGACTCCATGACCAGCAAGTGCCCCTGCAATGACTCCAATAGGAGATGAGGCCGCAGCAAGAGCTAAAAAAGTATCATTGCAAATTCAATTAACGTTCTTGTATTAATAAATTATGAAACAGTTTGACTTCACTGAGTATTGACTCTCACCTATAGTGGAGAAGAATGATTTGTCACCCCATTCAGCAACAAAAACCAACAAAAAAGTACTCACGACAGTGTTAGCAGCAGACAAAATGCCCGCACCTGATCCTGAAAGCTCTGAAACTGCCAGCTCTGCCTGTTAGGACAAAACCAAACATTTTTCTCTAAGTCCCAAGTGTATTTTGGTTATCACCATGCACACATCAAGTATTTCTAAGTAAATTCAGATGGGATCATAGATAAACCATCAGGCATGCCATACCTCCTTTTGTTCCTCTTCCGCTTTTAGGCCTTCACTTGAGGAGGCTTCTAGCAAGGACGAAACACCAAAATATACCTATAACCGGTGCAAGTTTCTATAAAGTAAAGCTAGTGACAATGAAGAACTATAAATATGTTGATTGGTGAGCGAGTATTGCTACTTTGTTTGTCATCACCAATCTCTTACCAGGAGGCAAACTGCAGCAAGATCATCAATTGGTAAATCGGCATTTCCCAACCTAATGTCATAAAAACATTATAATTACAAATAACAAAAAGGAAAAAAATGAAACACACACACAAAGAGAAGGGGCTGCTTTAGCTTGTTAAGATATGGGTAAGCGAAAACCTGAATGGAAGAATATCATCAACATAGTGAAATGTCCGTCCAACGATGACAGATATGATCGTCATTACCCTGTTCCCATTGCACGACAAATTCTCAGAACCATTCTACAATAATGCAGATCCAATGAGTGTGGTATTAGCAGAGAGGTTAAAGGTTAGAGTTTCGCTTTGCAAGGGTTTAAAATTTCGTTTTAAAGACAAAATAAAAGCAATAGAAGCATACTTATATTTTCTCTTAATCTATTGATCGAAGAAAACGAGTAGTGACCCTGCTAAATAAGGGAATGGAAGCATTCACCGTTGAAGGATTATATATTCCCATCACCCCCAAGAAACAAAATGAAAGAGAACAAAGAACAAAACCAAGTGAGCTAATTGAACTTCTATTAGGAAAATATGAAGATATTCTCGACTGAAAATCTATATCAAACAAATTACCCTAGTGCACCGAAAGTCCCTGTGAATGTGACAACAGCAGAATTTCTAGCTGCTAGGAGTGCCTGCTCAGATGACAAACTTAGTCAATGTTAGCCCAAGAACAAAAATTATCAATCACATACCTATATAGTGTGGAAAGTTGAAAAGTAGTAGTTGGTAACGCTTATAAGCAAGCAGTGTAAAGTGTTCTCATATGTATTTTCATTTTACAGGTAAAAAAGGATCAGATATTTTTGTAAAACAGAAAACTTCATAACTGCATGGACGTGCGTTCCATGCTATATTATTTTCTTACCGCAATAAAGAAGGTTTTATCGCCGAGTTCGGAGAAAAATATCAACAAGAATGCCTGCAGGTAAAGATAAGAGTACTTTTGTTAAGTTCATTATCCTGTAACATTTTATGTAATAGTGCGAAACCTCAGAATTCATTCAATGAAAGAGATGATTTGGGTGAATAAACGGAGTTTTAAAGGAGAATTTCCTAACTGAAGCAAAACCTGTGCTAATATCACCTAGATCCCCTAAGAATGAAAAGGACTGCCCGACATCCGAACCAGCAAGTGCTTGTTGAGTAGTTTGAAGAGTGAAAAATCCACACATCAGCATAAGTTTCAGATGACCAAGTGATTGAGCATTCTGAGGCCGGTCATCCAAAAAAGGTGAATGTTTATTCCACGCCCCACCAGACGATGTGTGTTTTCTAGGTGGTCTGCCAAGTTTAGTAGCGTGAACCAGTAGGTTGCGATTGTAAGGTTTCTCCTTTGAAGTCATAAGCTCCTGAGCGGATTCAAATAAGAAAAACAAACAAGTAACAATGGAATATTTTGATTAACAAAAGAATGAATAATATGGCAATAAGAATAAATATGCAGTTATGGAATTTCTTTACTCAACCTTGTCTAAAAGCTTGGAACCATAAGAGGGCTTTCCAGCAAGAAGCTTCCCTGCAAGCATGACAAATGAGCATCACAGAACATCAAAAAATAAATATATGCTGATATAGAATCATGCATCTACAGTTAACGAAACCTACAATTAATATTATCAGCAACGAAACTCATCCTTTTCCAAAAGGGAACGTTCATCTACAAATAAGTTAGCTTCATCCTTTTTCCAAAAGGGAATGTTTATCTACACATAAGTTAGCTCTTATGATCAGATATCCTTCTCCACCGTACATTAATATGACACATCCGTGAGTGGAAATTCATCAGCTACCCTCCAAAATAGTGAAATGGAAACAAACACGATCAACAGCCACATGGTAGATATAGAATTCTTGAGTCCAGTTACTACAATATGAAGCTGAACTTCGTTGTTATTTAATTTTGTAAGCAGCTACTTAATATAGTTTCCACCCATTCATTTGATAAGTGAAAAAATAACTCTCCACTACAATAATGACAAATGATATGGTACAAACTCGTGAAAGCCTGATTACTTGAACATTACCGGGAATCTCAAATTTACTTGGGAACCCACCAAAGGCAGAGAAGAAACAAAAATAAAAATGAGAAAATAGAAAACAAATCATCTACCACATCCCAATTCAGCTAACGGGTCAGTCAGAGAGCAACAAACAAAAAGCTAATGCAACCTATCAACAAAGCACTTGCCAAACAAGTCGCCTCACGCATCAATTCAGCTAAAGCAGTAATCTTTGTCATTTTTGCTTCTGTATAAAAAGAAAGAAAAACATATTTACACAAGCAGAAACCTTCATTTCACATCATATATTGAAAATACATCCAAACAAGTAAACAAATGGAATATCAGAAAGCCAAATGGGATAAACAGATTACTCGTAAAACGAAAGTGCTTGGGAACATAAAAAGAGAAGCACAGATTATTGTGGTGATCAGCTGAACAGGTTCTTGGAAGGGAATTGTGATGAACAGCCGACAGAATATAGACCATTTTTTCTCAACTGAAATAGGAAAAATGAAAAAAAAAATAAAAAAAATGGATTGTATTGTGAGTAAGAAAAAGCAAGTGCAGTGAGTGAAGGGGTGAATAAAGATGGAAAAGGCATGTAACTGTAGTTTGAGAGGATTGAATGGAGCCATAACAGTGGCTGAAAATTTTGTAAGGTGATAACATGGCAGTTGTGTGTGTGTGTGGTGGGAAATAGATAGCTATTTTTATGAGTCAGCAAAAGTCACTCTTTGTTCTGTACGTTCATTTTAATTATGAAGTCGTGTTTATGTTTTTCTTTCATTTCTTTAAGCATGTAGTTTTTGTTTTGCACTTTCATAAACTCGCTCTTTGTTCTGCACGATCATGTTTGGTAAGAAAAAAAATAACTTTTAAAAAATAAAAATAAATTATGTTTATTCGGCAGTTATTATATCCTACTAGTTTTTGTCCCGTGCATTTGCACGGAAAACTATATGATACATGAAAAAATAATAAAAATTATAAACAATAGTAAAAATCATAACATATTCATTGAAAAAAATTAAGAAAAAAAATATAAATATTCTTCAACACTTCTTTATAAAACAACGTCGTGGTTTTTCTATCGTCAAAATCTCCTTCAGCTCAAATCAAAATCTTCAAACCCCACTGACTCGTAACTCTAAAAAGCGCCACGTATAATTGCTCATGACTAAATGTAGAGCTCTTCAGTAGTAAGCCGACGTGCGACAGAGACTGTCTTTGACTCTTATTGATCATGTCATAGCATAGGAAACACTTCTTTATATTATTTGTCCTCGACTCTTATTGATTGATAGAGATTGTCCTTGCTTTTTAATAAAAAAAATACCATCTAAATATAAATGAGTAAATATAATATTAATTTTTTATATAAACAAAAAATTTAAAGTAATTGATAATGAATATAGAATTACCCTTGCGGATTCAAGTTATTTCAACGATGTTCTTTTTATATATCTAAGATTTAATTTTTTTTCTGATTTATATGAGTATAAGCACATTTGACTAATTTTTATAAAATTTATTGAAAAAAGTTACTATTTTTTTGAAAAACTGATAAGATATTAAGATAATACTGTACTTAACATAAATGTGGGATTAATTAAAATAATTTTTTTTTAATTTAGTCATTAACTAATTAAATTTTACTATAAAAAAACCTTCTTAAATGTGAGATTAATGAGTAATTAATTAAAAAAATGTAACTCCTTTTGGAGGGAAAATGAAAATATTTTTATTAAATGTTTTATTAAATGGGATTAGCTAGCAATTATATATATATAGATGTTGACTTGTTTGATTGTAGCCCGTCGGATAATTAGCTTGCCCTGTGGCCGCAAAGTCCCAATTCTGCTATTTTTAACTTTATATTGCAACTCATTTATGCATATAACTAGCATATAACCGTGCAATGTATGTAATATAAATAAATAAAATGTATTATTATTTAATATTATATTTATTTATTTTGCTTTATATGGTATCATTTTAAGGTTATTTCACAATTTTCATTCATAAAATTTGGTATTAGAAAATAAAAGAAAAAAGGAAAAATTGAAGTCAGATTCGAAAATTGGATCCAGTCTTCTTCTATGTAATAATACAACGCAATTTCTTAAAAAATAATCAGGTAACTTTTTCAGTGAAAAAAAACTTATAATTGAGCAGTCGTAGATAACTCGAAATGTCGTAGTGTTGCACCTGATTTTATTTTCATTATGGTAACTGTAGATTTCAGGATTATATAAAATTGCGTAAAAGACAATCTGTTGTCAGCTTTGCCGCCAGTCAATCCTCAGACCATCAAAGAGTAAAGCCGGCAAGGAGCTTTTTTACCCAGCACACAAAATTAACAAATATGATCCTCACCAAGAATGACATATCAAATTGTATCCACCACCACAAACCCCTCTACACTGTCTGTAAATTTCTAATTTCAAGTACCTTAATATATGGAACTATAGTCCGCGTAAAGATAGCAGTTGAGCATCGTAAGGAAGTCAGATTAGTAGTCTCTCTACAGGCAACAAGAATCTTCTTTTGAATAGCCCGGTGGTCACTGTGTATCATAAATCGACATCAAGTTGAAACTTGGATTGCATGTCATCTCCCGATAAGCTTATAATATGCATACATGCCCGACCCAATGAAGCCAAAAAGCTGCCCAATCACATTCAACTGCACCACATCCACAAAAAACGTAAGCCACCCCTCCTCATTCATTTGACTAATACAGTGTTTATATATATATATATATATAGGATGTGGTTCAAATGAGAACCAAGTCTTAATGTGAGAACCGTGAGAACCGCTATTTTTATTGGGGCATAGTGCTATGATTGATTGTATTTGATGCTATTTTTAACTAGGATGAATTTTATTAAAAATAGCAACACAATTTATGGTAGCACTTGTAAAAATAATAGCATCATCTAATATGAAAAATAGCATCATACACAATTAAAAATAGCATAAAAAACGGTTCTCACGGTTCTCACACTAGGACTAGTTTTTATTTGAACCAGCCCCTATATATATATATATATATATATATATATATGATCACTTACCATATCAAATGGCAGTCCTCCAAAAATTACCCAGCCCAGAGTAATCGTGAAAAGATCCTACACAGGAAATGCATCCAACTTATATATAAATGTTAAAAATGATCGTCAGCCTCAGCTAAGATAGTTTCACCAATGTTTATATTTACTGTACAAAGGTTGGATGATAATTTCTGAACCAGTATTGGACTAAACTTCAGATCTCCAATTTTCATCGCACTACGAGATGATACAACCCACTGGCAGCATTAAAGGTGAAACAAAAGCATTTCAAAAGAAGCCACATGTAATTCTGAACAAACCTTCAAATTCCCACAGATTGTCTGTGTGAGAGCAGAATTCAAAGTCGTATTGAGGAATATGCTATAGTTCAGGAAGAAAGCTAGTATACATGTCAAAGCCAACACCACCTGACATTAGGAGAAGTAGCAAACAAATTATCAGCTTGTAAGAAAAACTCTAAGCATAAGCATATATACCTGTCTTTCAGAAAGAAAGAAAGGAAAAAGAAAAAGAAGGTTTATGTAGTTACGACAACATTTTTAGCATGGACAGACAACATTTGTAGCATGGACAGACAACATTGGAAACTTGGATGCACAAGTTATGACAATTATTAACAGGTAATCAGGGTATAAGAAGGTGATGACATGAAAAGAAAGATTGGGTGAACGCCATTTAGCATCAAATAAGACAGTGTTTTCAGCTTATTTGACGTCATTAACAGGCAAAAGGAGACTAAATTACTAATGTTTTCCAACTATCTCATCTGGAAACAACAAAAGAATAGTTTAAGATAAAAAATCGAAAAGTAGAGAAAGAGTTACAAAGAGAAACAAACAGTCATGGGTTTATGTTAAGGTACAAATGGAGAAAGAGTTACAAAGAGAAACAGTCGTGGGTTTATGTTAAGGTACAAATAGTAACCAATATTACCAGGAAATCAGGAGAAAGCAAATATGGAAAATTCATTGTCATCTCCAAGTCACCGTGTATAAGGGTCCAAAGAAACAAAACAGGCCCGCACAAAATTCCTACAAAGAATAATCACTCAACTTAGATGAAAAAGTGAGGGGTGCATGAGAGCTTATTCCAAGGTCTGACTACACACCGTTGCACCACATGAGGCCAAAGCTGTTGAGCCCACTTGACTTTCCTGGGAAAATAAGATATCAGAAAAAATTAAAAGAAAAAAGAAAAAGAAAAGAATGCAAAGAGAACATAGTCACCAAAAGCTAAAAGAAGGGATACCAATGCGGGCTATGGTCGCCAGGTAGATTGCTGTTGTAATGTTGGACATGACAACAACTAGATAGCCATACGAGTCAAATGACAAGTCTCGAGCTCCAGCAACAAAAGCACCCAGAACTATCAATCCCACACTGCCAAAACCATAATTAATCGGTAGGTTGATAGAATTAATGCAAGATGAGTAACTTCAAGCAGGGTTAGCATTCTAAAGAAGATATCAGATTATAAGGAGTTTCAGGTAAGAATGTGCACTGCCGCATATCTATCAATCCCACTCCAATCCACAACCCTAAATCATGCTTCTCATCAATTTCATCCACGGGACTTATGGCCCCATATGCCATATGGATGGTTTCTTTATTTCTTTCACAACTTGGTTTTTCTTTTGGAAAAACCAAAATACTACATTTAGCTTCATAAGCCCACACATTCATTTATTATATTATTCCTATTTAACTAAAACCGTAAATTGATTTTCATAATTATTGGTTGTTTATAAATCTTCGACAAATGTTCCCTGTTCATTCTAATATATCACAAGTCAAAGTGAAAGCAATATACATAACTATGAAATCGGCAACACAATAAGAGCTCCATTTACCTTCCAACAATAGGTCGGGTATATCTCTGCCTCACAAGGATGTACTCAACAATCATTGTAAAAACAACTGTAGTTCTCCGCAAGGTTGTATACATAGGAACATTAACCCCTCGAACGGACTCCATGCTGACTAACTTTTCAAGATAATAAAGAAAAATTGTGACTAGCTTTTCTTCATGAGGGAAATGTTTCAAATCACAAAAGGATGAATGGAAAAATTTGTACCATGTAAAGCAAATAAGATAAAGCAAGAGGTGAAGTGTTGACCAATGTCTTTATTGGTACTAATGTTTTGGAACTCTCGTTGATGGCTATTGAATCGCTCGCATTAAAAGTAATGAGCTTTGAGCGTCGAAGAACATAAAGAAAACAACAAGAACACATCATCTGCAGCAGATACAATTAATGAAAATTTTGAATACGTGATAATGAAGAAATGAAACTGTGTAACAGATGGCTGATCGCATCAAGGAACCAACGTATATCATATTTGATACGGAATATACCTGACAAAGAGTGATGACGTTGGCACTTGGGAAGCTGTATGAAGAAAGAGCTGCTTTATTGAATAGTACCAAAAGCACTGCAAAATTAATCAGCTTTGTTCAAGAATTCCAGAAACCTATCTTTTGCACAGGGTCTATTTTGACTCCCAAGTTTAGGCCCTTAACTTAATACACACAAAGGTTCATTGAGATTTATACATATTAGTTAAATTAAAGCCCTTATACCATATGTAATTGACAAAAACATAATCATAAAACTTCAGTTGCCTCAAGAACATCAGTTAATAAATCCAGATATCCAACAGATCGTCCTCAAACAAATCTAAAAATCCAATCTTGAGTCGGAGCTCATAATGACGATATAATCTAAATGTGAATGCAGATACACTTAATACTGTAATTAATATTACCTGGAATATGCAAAACCCACATTGTTCAAGTATTCAAAATCTAGTACTTACAGAATTCAATAAGTACCAGAATACAGACACATATATATTCAAACTTCACCAGCCAACGAAAACTAATAAACGAAAAAAGATAAATATTCAGCTAAACATAACAGAGTAATTGGTTCTTCTCGGGGAAAAAAAAAATCAGCAGAAATTTAATTCCGAGTTATACTCTAACAAGGAAAAAATACACCAGAAGCATAAGCAAAATTCAATTTTCATTTTCCATAAAAAAATAATAATAATAATCATAATAATAATAAAATACCAGCACAACTCATGTAAGAGATAGCAGCATACGCGCCGCGCTTAGTCATGGTGGATCCTTTAAAAAGCTTGTCTTCCCCTCTTGCCTGATGATCGGTCGACCCCATTGGTAGAATCGAATTGCTCTTCAAATTTGCAGCCATAGATTGTTTAAAGGTGTCTGTTCTCCAGTTTCTACAGGGATGACTCGACTTTTTTGACGGGATGATGTAGAAACTGTACAAACAGTACAAGGTGTGTAAAGTATAAATAAACTATTTAAAGATACAAATTTATTTACGATTTTATATAATTATTTCAATTTTTTTTTTTTAAATTCCTGTTGACGAAATTATCGCGTTCCTAATTTTTATTTGGGAATTGTTATTTCGTTTGGTAATTTTATTTTCAAAAACAATTTTAGATGTTTTTGGAATCCTATGCATTTGACCCCTTAAGCCCGCAAATACTTAGGGCACACCTTGCTAGGTGTGTCAGGACATGTGTGAAATGCACTTTCTCTTAAAATCGCGTGAGGTAAGGTAAGGTATGTAAGTTTTTTTTTTTTTTTGTTTAAAAAAGACAAGTGTCCAATATATATTGGATAATAAATTTTACATATTATATTATATAAATTAAATTATTATTCACATTTTATATTAAAAAATAAAAATAAAAATACCAAAATTCATAATTTTTCAATCTCTACAAATAGAGACCACATTTGATAAGTTTTGGAACACAATTAATTTATTATTTTTTATAATTAAATTATCTTTTTGGAAGGTGATGACACAAATATATAATAAGATGAACATGTTACATACTAAGATGCGCATGTTATATAGTAAAATGAACATGTTATAGAATAAGATGAAAATGTTATAATTTTACAGATGGAATTTAGATGAACATTTTATACAATAAGATGAACATGTTACATAATAAGATAACATGTTATAGAATAAGATGAACATGTTACATATTTACACAATAAGATGAACATATGAACATGTTATAAAATAAGATGAACATATGAACATATTATATACTAAGATGAACATATGAACATTGGAACACAATTAATTTATCATTTTTTACAGTTAATTTATCTTATTGGAATATTATGACGCAAATATATAATTAGATAAATATGTTACATAGTAAGATTAACATGTTATAGAGTAAGATAAACATGTCATAGAATAAGATGAAAATGTTACATTTTTCAGAGATGAAATTTAGATGAACATGTTACATAATAAAATGAACATGTTATAGAATAAGATGAACATGTTTAGATTCCATATCTACATCACGGGCTCTCAAATTATTTTCTCCAATTTCCACTTCATATATAAAATTCTGGTCAATTTCTTGCTCGACTTTCACTCGTTTAATGCAAGCATCTCCGCCCTGAAATAATAAACCATAATCTACAGATAAGAACTCAAATTTATGCAATAGTCATACTATAGAGATTGAAAGTGAAAAACTAGTAGAATGTAAAAGAAATTCCATAAATTAGTCTTTCGATCGAATATCCTCCACCTTCACAAACCAAAATCCTCTCTAATAAGATGAAAATGTTACATTTTTCACATATGAAATTTAGATGAACATGTTATAAAATAAGATGAACATGTTACATAATAAAATGAACATGTTATACGATAAGATGAACATGTTACATAATAAAATGAACATGTTATAGAATAAGATGAACATGTTACATAATAAAATAAACATGTTATAGAATAAGATGAACATGTTTAGATTCCATATCTACATCACGGGCTCTCACATTATTTTCTCCAATTTCCACTTCATACACAAAATTTTGGTCAATTTCTTGCTCGACTTTCACTCGTTTAATGCAAGCACCCCCGCCCTGAAATAATAAACCATAATCTACATATAAGAACTCAAATTTATGACTATAGGGAATGAAAGTGAAAAACTAGTAGAATGTAAAAGAAATTTCATAAATTAGTCTTTCGATCGAATATCCTCCACCTTCACAAACCAAAATCCTCTCTAATAAGATGAAAATGTTACATTTTCACAGATGAAAATTAGATGAACATGTTATAGAATAAAATGAACATGTTACATAATAAAATGAACATGTTATAGAATAAGATGAACATGTTATAGAATAAAATGAACATGTTACATACACAATAAGGTGAACATGTTACCAAAAAACGAAAATTAGTTGTGTTCAAAAACTTATCAAATGTGGTCTCTATTTATAGATAATGAAAAATTAATTTTGGTATTTTTATTTTATTTTTTTAATTTAAATAATTAATGATATTTTAATTTATGTAATATGTCTCATTTTTTTATTAAAAAAGAAAAATTGGGAGAGTGCACTACACCTTCTAAATTTTCTAGCTTTTTGAGAGTGAGGGGCGCGTGTAATACTGCCCTGGCACACCTAGCTAGGTGTGCCAGGGCACACGGTAGTGGTACTGCCTTAAGCCCAAGGATAATGACAGCCTGATATAGAATTACCACAAAAAAATGAATAGTTATCTTATCATTTAAAAAAAATGAGATGATTTGATATTTATGTTATCTTTTAATGTGCTCAATAAAATTTAAAATCAAATTGATATTCAATAAGGGAAATGCTACGGTCCTGTTATGGATTCATTCCGTCAAGGATTATAACCGTTAGATCATCATGTAATTGTCATAGATAGTTAATCTAACGGTTACAAACCCCGACGGAATAGTTCCGTAACGGGACCGTATCATCTCCCTATTCAATAAAATATCATTTGTTTCATTTTAAATTTCATACTAATTGAATTAATTTCTCGATAGATTAGTGCATAATTTTTCAAGCATATATAATTTTGCTTATATCTAGCTAATAGGTTAGTTGATAGTTGATAAGTGAATTTCGAGCTTATATCTAATAGTTTATAGTTGAAAAGTCATATAAAAGTGTTTGTAAATTTAACTGATAAGCCAACTTATTTGAAAAGCTGTCCAAAAAAACTTATGAGGTAAGTTTGAGTTTTTTTAAATATTGTGTCCTATCAATCCAAGCGTGTGTCTGGTAAGCCCCAAACACTAGCTTAGAGCTTATTTGATTAGTTTAAAAAGTTTATGTATACAAATGGTAAGTAACATAAATTAGCTTATAACTTATTTAGTTAGCTTATAAGTTTCATGTGTACAAATAAGCTTGACTTGGTAAGATGAGATTTTCTTAAAATTTTGAATTTATCTCAAACTTATTTGGGTATTTTTTCAAATAAACCCGCTTAATTTTTTTATTTCAGTTAATTTATCAAACACTTTTATCGTATCAGCTAGTTTTTCAGTCACAAACCACAAGCAACCAACTACAAGCTTGAAATTCAATTATAAGTTATCAGTTAACTTATCAATTATCAGTCTACTTATAAGTTATTTTTACCAAACATACTATAGTTTGATTTGGTAAGACGAATTTTTTAACTTTGTCTCATAAGTTATTTTTAGTTGTTTATCAAATAAATCCGTTGAAAATTTTATTTTAGCTAATTTTACCAAACACTTTTAATCGACTTTTCAGCCATAAGTTATAAGCTATTAGCTATAAGTTTGAATTTCACTTATCAACTATTAGTTGGCTCATCAATTAGTTTTACTAAACATAATTCAAGTTTATTTGAATACAGGAAAGTTACAAGCTTAAAATCGACAACGGGGGTCTGCGGGTTCCTTTCGGTCCTAGAATGTTCCTGGTCTTCTTGGCCTGATGAAGACATCTTTACGTGGATTTGTATTGTAAAGTTTGGTTAAGGTTACTCCAAAACAGGTGATTCAACCTTCCTCCAACGTCAATCTGTTGATATACGAAATTCGTACCAACGATATAGGGAAATTCTCTAAGTAAAAATATTATAAATACTGAATGAGGTCGGGGGACCTTGATCTTATATAGTAAACAACTCGGATTATTAGTACAACTTATAAGTTATTTTTAGAAAAAGAATGGTCCATTATGCCTCTATTACAATGAGTGAGGGATATTTATAGTGTAAAACCCACAATACGGTTCACGATGTCAGCACGTCATCCTTTAATGCAATCTGACGGGGACATGCGGCTTTACAGAGCGGGTCCCAACTCTAATAATTGCTTTTCGAAAGTACCATGGACACGCATCTCATCCGCATTTAAGATGGTGTTAGAGGCCGACCTCCAATTGGTCTTGATCGGCTCTCTCGCGGTTGAATGATCGGGCTCTTCACGTAATTCACTTTACTACCGAGCTACTTACATTTTGTTGTTTCACCTTCAATGTCGTAGGTCGACCCAGGAGATGGGAAAGCCGAGTCCTTTGCGTGGGCCCTTGTCCATATTGAGCTAGGCGTCGCATGGTCGAAGAGTCAAACCAATCTATTCGGTCCAATCTTTTTAGGCCAAGTGATTATATTATTTATGTCACGTGTCGGCTGATTAGGGGATCAGTAGTTCGGATGTCAACATGATGTGATGTAAAACAACTAGGGCTATATTTGGTAAACATAATTGATAAGTTAGCTGATAACTAATGAGTTAGCTAATAGTTTATAAGTAAATTTTGAGGTTATAATTGATAATTTACAACTTATAACTCAAAAACTACTTATATAATAAAAATATTTGGTAAAATTAGGAAAGTTATTACCTAAGAAAGTTTATGAGTTAAACTCGAGTTTAACAAAAAAAAAAACGCGTCCTACCAAACAAAATTTATTTAGATACAAAAAATTTATAATCTAACCAAATAAGTTATACACAGAGCATGCAGGTTGTGCTCTGAGGTATGCAGGTTGCTAGCAAATTTCTGGTGGGCTAAGGGTAATACACAGAGCAAGGGCATACATTGGCTGGCATGGGATAAGATGAATATGCCTAAAAGTGAGGGAGGTTTGGGGTTTCAAGACATCAAGCTATCCAATAAAGCCCTCATTCTGAAACAACTGTGGAGACTTATTGAGAAACCAGATCTATTGATGTGCAAAGTGCTAAAAGGTAAATATTTCCCTCATGGCTTTGTCTTTGATTGCAAGTTGAATAATGGAGCATCATGGCTTTGGAGATCTTGGGCATCATTGCTGCCTGTGTTGAGTGACCAAGTGAATATTGTTATTAAGAATGGAGCCAAAACTAAACTTAATGATTGCAATTGGGTGCCTGGGTTACAGAAGGGTTCCCCTAATCTCAGAGCTGATGTTGATGGTAGTTTGTTTCTGGTGAAAGATCTGTTGCTTGCTGGGGGTGTGTTATGGGACTCTTCTCTTGTTAGGGCTTTGTTTGAAGATGATGTTGCTTCCTTGATTCTACAGATTAAATCTCTTAATCCTAATGATGATGATTTGTGGAAATGTGCTTTTCTTGACAAAGGAAAATTTTCTGTAAAGAAGGCTTACTTGTTTCTGTTGAGGGCTAAGATTTCTGCTGGGGCTGTAGGAGAATGTAGCAGGTTGGCCATGGGCAACAAAAGAGCTAGAGACAGATGCTGGTCTCTCAAGATTATGGGCAAAGTAAAACATTTCATTTGGAAATGTTTTACTAATATATTACCTGTGAGCTGTAACTTGGTTAAAAGGGGAGTGGAGGTTGACTGCATTTGCAAGGTTTGTGGGGAAGCTGAAGAAACTATAGAACATACTCTGTTCATGCGCAGAAGAGCTCAAATTGTTTGGCAAATAGCCCCTGTGACCTGGGACAAACAGAAGATGGCTGTGAGTAGCTTCAAAGAATGGTGGTGGTGGATAACTACTTTAAACTTCAAAGACACATCTGAGGCTAGAATCCAGTTGTCAACTTACTTATTGTGGTGGCTGTGGCGGGCTCGCAACCTATGGGTGTTTGAAAGGCAATGGCAGCAAGAAAGGTGGATCATACAAACTGCACTCAAGGACTGGATGGACTACAATGCAAGTAATCTGAAGGAGTAATTTGATGGGCTATGGATAGGTTAGGTCTCGAGTCAGTGGCCTATTTGTTTGGCTGTCAAATTTTTCCTTTCATTCTTATTCGGTTTAAGATCAGGTTTTGGTGTTGTAAGTTTGTTCTGTTATTGTTAGGTGATGGTGTCTAATTTTTCTTTAGTTATGGGTTGTATTGTGGCTAGTGTGTTGTGCATCGATTAGGAAGCTTGTTTAGCTCATCCTCTCAGTTACCCAGGATTCGGGATCTTCCCGTTGTACATTCCTTTTCGTCGCTAATGAGAACTTCGATCGTTGGA